GAAATTCACCGCAGAATCGTCCCCCGACCGACCGTCCTAGTGAGGGTTGGTCGAAGCAGCAACATTCGAGACTTCCTAACTGCTGAGCTCTCTTCCGCTCCGGGGCTGGCTCTTCCGAGCAGCAGTAGCCCGATCCCCCGTCCCCGCACCGTCTCCGTAAGCAATATCCGAGTCGGAAAAACTGGCGACTCCGCACGATGGACGCGTCCAGGGGACCGTCTGCCGACGCCATCGTCGTCCCGACCGGTACTGAATCAATCGTGGCTTGCGGGTGTCATTTTGATTAATATACCCACTCCGGACGTCGAGCGACTTCGGCGTTTCCCTAATCTGTCGCCAAATCCGCCGAGGGAATGCGATAAGCCACTCTCCTGCTCCTGGCGACTGCCTCGACCTTGCAAAACTCGCATCGACGACCAGCTCGGGCGCCTCGATTCGCTCGTGGGCGCTTCTGTATCTCAACGATTGCCATTCCGATGATCTGAGTGCCGGCGGGCAGGCGGGCGGGCGAGGGGATGGAATCAGCGTCGGGGATGGAGTCGAGTTCTCGCTCGTAGGCGGAGGACATTTCGGAGGAATCGTCGAAGCCCGGGAGGTTCGCGAAGAGGCTCCGATCGTATAACTTTTCGCCGACGTGACATCCACGGCACGACCCGGGTCCCCGGTAAGCGAGGAACACGGACTGGGCGAGTTGCTCTAATCTACCACGGTCCCCGATAAAGGAAAGAAACCGCAGAAGGACGCGTGCCGCGCACGTAATCCCGCCGAAGGCTCTCCCATGTGCGCGGGGGAGAGGAGATTTCCACCGACGCAATTACTGACTTGTTGCATCCATCGCTCGCAGGGTAGGGAATGGAACAGCTGATGAGTAGGTGGAAAATCGAGCGTACCGGGAATTTTTAGGAAACGGAGGGTCCGATGATGGTACATTCCCGCAGAGAGCACTTGCTGGAGCGAGACAGCGGAGCTCTCCCTGAGTTGGGTCAGCCTAGATGAGCTCGCACGACGTGTTGCTGAATGTTGGGAGCAAGCAGAATAATGTACGGCGTGCAGAGACAACGTATTGGAAATCGAACGACGCTGCCAGTCGGTGGGTAACATCACCGGCGTCCCTTTTGTGACATTTATTCCTTTGTTTGTTCGCCTCTCTGTCTGCTCGTCTCCTTACCAATTCCAGCTAACAATAGCTGCGTCTGTCTATTCCCGACGGAACGTTTCAGTCCACGCATAACCAATGCTCGAGACGGATTCTTTAGCGTCTTTATATTTATCCCGACTGGGAAGCGCAGAAGCCTCAAATGCTGCTGGTGCAAAGAGGCTTCCCGGAGGCTCCGTGTGTTGAAATATTATTCCGTTGTCGTACGGCCGACGGAGATCTCCTCCCACGGTACGTTTCTCCGGCCACATACGGTTTTGGCCGATGCGGCGCTGATATGATTCGAGGTAAGCTGCGAAGACTCAGTTTGCGGTGGAAAGGAGGTGCCCGCGACTTTGGAACGGTCCACCAGGTGCCTGGTTTGTTTGGAGAGTGACTTGAGCTCCTTGGAGCAGCCAATATTTTCTTTCCGATGCCTGTCCCTATCTTCCGGAGAGCAGCCGTCCGGCCGTCTGTGCGTCCAAGCAACCATCAACCCATCCACCGGTGATCTCACTGTCCTTGCTCCCGATTCGCAGCGCGACCCGTATGCTATGCGATATCCGGACAGTCCGCAGAGAATGACGCGGTGAACGCGACGGCTTGCATGTGTAACTCTGCCATGTGGAAACCTCGAGGACGAAATTTCCTGTGGATCCAGAGGCTCCGAGCATCCGTCAAATACCGTCGCTAGCGTATTTACCGGTGATTAGCCGAGAGTGGACTGGCATTCCCATCCTCCCGATGATGAATCAAATCTTCCGGGAATGGGGAAGTCTGGGAACTCTCCGCGATTCCCCTGGGAATCCGGAATAGTGCTTAAAAAGGGTTCGGGGTGGCTTTTTGATGGAATAATTCGCACGGCTTCGGATCGGAGACGATTCCTGAGAGCGCAATATTCCGGGCTACCTAGAGACGCATTGACGAGGCCACGATGTCGGATAAACTCATCGAGAGGACTCGTTTGGCTGCTCTCTCAATGTCTAAAGTATATGTGTCACACTCCTTTTAAACGTGGGTAAGGGAGAAATTCGTTGAGCTGACAGCAGGGAACCACTCGGTCGGTGGCCTCCGCTCACTTTTGTCACTGTCTCGGTGTCACGGTGAGCTGTGTTTCCCTAGGGGCTCGACTGTCTCGCGTGCAAAACATCTGCTTGAGTTTTTGTGGTGATTTCTTCGCGTGCGGAAGGTCTCATACTACTCCAGTCGTTGTCGGTGGTCCAATGTTATCAGGGTAGCTCCCCACATCTTACGGACCGATTTCCGGCTTTCATCTTCAGACATCGACTCGGAGGAAGAGAGTCTTAGGAATCTTTCTCTCGATCAGTGAATTAAAGACATTTGAAGGGATATGCAAACGCCCATTCCCGTTTTCGATTTTGTAAACTCATATAGACGGTCTCCACCGAATTTTTTGGCGTCTATGTGGTTCATATGGGCCATCGCTCCTTGGAAGTTCGCCTAAAGGGAGCGATGACCAGTAATCATTCCCGCAGGATGTTGCCAGCGATGAACGAGACTCGAAATTGATCTTGAGATGTTAGAACATCGGACGCTGTCCGTGTGAATCGTCCAGTGACAGAAGGGAATGAAATTTCGTCTCGCTGTCATTCTCCTCATTGCCTAGGAGCTCGAGACAAAGGAGAATCTCGCTATTGGCCGCAGGACTCGCGTTCCTTCCCGAGTGCCTTCTGAATTTGGAGTTCGATTCCGAGCGGGGAGGAAATCCAGGGAAAGCTTCAGGAAAGTCTATCGATGAAGAAGCTAAAAACTGACGATGCTGTGGACAATTTTCATGGCTTCCGATGATTGCCGCGCGATTGTATTGTATCTCTGTAGGTCCCCATACTGCATCAAGTTGGTTCGGAGAGCTCACTCTTTCCATCATCAGCCGGGAATTTCCATGGATTCCCGTTCAGTCGGCCCGAGCGGATACATCAATCAGAGCACAGGAACGAATTCAGGCCTGATTCGAGGGAACAATGTACTTTTCCGAGATCGTGCTCCGAGCCGATCCGTCATTATAAGCAGTGACGCTGCTGCTGATGTTATCGTTGCTCGCCCGTCGAGCTGAACGGCTCGCGCACGTTTATTAATGAATTTCTACTGCTCTCTATTGGACTACTATTCGGCCCGGTCTCGTCGCCGTTGCGACTCGTCTACTCCAGCGCGTAGATGCGGATCCTCCCGTAGAGGTGCAGCGCCTCCGTACGGGAGCGAAAAATTGGAGAGACACGCCCCGGGCTACGCATAATTAAAGGTGACATCTCCAGCAGCTAATGTGCGCGGCCCATGGGCCCGGACCGAGTCCTACGAGGAACGAGCCGAGTCTAGATCCCGACGGCGATAGTCGGGGTCCTTCATGGAATCCGAGAGATCTACCGCGTTTCAGCGAGTGGATGTTGTCCGCTGAAAACCAGGATCAATCTTGTCACGGGAAACGCATCGGGCAGGGGTTTCACGGGGTGAACGAAGTTTGCTTTCGACCTCCACATCGGCTCCCTTCGGCTGCGGTCGGTGGATCACGAGATTCTGCCTTCGGTTGTGTCGTTGAGACGATGCCGCCGATGTTCCCGATTCCCCGAGGATCTGAGCGATCATTTCGCCGAGAGCCTCCTATAGTCGGCTTCGTCAGCCCCATGTATGTACGCGAGCTCGCCGCATCTATTGAGGTAGTATAAATGAGCTGGGGCTGCTAGCCAGTCACTATTTTTTCCGGGAGAAGCTTCGACGGACAGCTCGTATGAACGGTCGATTAGCGAATCAGTCTCTTCTCCGCTTCAAGGGAGGGTCCCCGGGGTCACGTTTGTCGGATCGAACAGATTCGGAGCTCTTCCTGAAGAGGATCCGCTCGGATAGGAGAAGGACTCGATCCTCGTCACAATTCTGCACGTTTCAGAGATTTATCGATGAGGAGAAGAATTCATCCCGAGCCGAGGCATAAATATAGGATCTCATCTTCGGGGGCTCCCGATTCCTTCTAACCGTGCAACGTCTGAACGAAAAACCCCTCAACAAGGCTTATGCCCATGCAGAACCCCGGCTAAATAGAATCAGTCTGCTCGATAAGGCGCGCCAAGCGCTCTCGTTATCTCATTCGTCTAGCTCTAGGAGAAGAAGCGATGGCTCCAGAGCTTACTCGTCCGAGACAGCTTTGTCTCGGGCTTCGCGTTTCCCATTAACATTCGCCTTGCTCTCATGACTTCGCGGACGACGCAACTTCGTTGTGGAAAACGAACGAGACGCGATCTTTAAGGCATGGCTAAAGCGTCTCCCTCCCGGACGAGAACTCCCGCGAGAGTATTTCGTCGGGGGGCTCCGGGGCCTAACTCTGTTCGAGTGCTCGTGAGTTCTTTGCGGAATCCGACGGACTCTTCTAGTGCTGCTTATCTCGAAAGAGACATCTGCGCCACGAAAGAGACCTAAGGCTCTCGGTAATGATTCTGTCTTCGGCTGCTGCCGATTGCGGCGAGACGAAGCCGTCATGTCCCTCATTGGCTTTTGTTAGGTCTGGGAGAAAAGGGAAGCCTTGAGCAAACGTCCCCTTTCAATTCGGGAGAGAAAGCTCATCCCGGTCGACGGGACGTCGCTCAGCAAATTCGCTGACTGGGCGAGACGGCCGACGACCAGCAGGCGGGTATAAACGAACAAAACGTGGACTGAGCGCTCCGGAAAGAGGAGAGCGAAGCTGAAAATCTCGAGGGGCGCAAACACTTCCGCGCACACTCGTGCGGGAGTTCCAAATCGAGCACCGATCGACTGTACGCGGCCTCGATCGAAGCTCTTCCTCTCGCTCCATTTATCTGTGTTCTTCCGTGACATATCGGAATCGACGTGGCTAATCAGTTTTTTTCCTTCGTTCCAGACGGGTCGCAGAGGCACAATGTGCTCGTCAACGAATATGTACGACCACTTCACGTCGATGGTCCGTACCTCGCCGAAAATCGCGGCATTGTTCTACGACGATCGAGAATTGACCTACGAGGATCTCGGTCGAGTGACGCATAATCTAGCGGACAAATTAAGCGCTTACGAGAATATCTTGATTTGTCTCCCACCGTCCGACGCTGCCATATGTACCATGCTCGCCGCTTGGAAATTAGGTGAGTATCGTTTGGCAACATTGTTCTCGCGGCTCGCAGCAATTTTTATCTAGCGGGAGCAGAGGGTAAACAATAGCGGTTCTTGAGAGACCACAAAAATGTCTCCCACTGAGCACAGAGACCGTAATCATGTGGGGATCTTATTCCGCAGCTCGCTCGTAACGAGTGTTTTATTCACGTGGGAAGGTCCCGCTGGGCCCGAGCCTCGACTTAGCACTGCCCAAGGGATTATAACATTCTAGCCCGAGTCGGAAGCTGCTCAGTCAGTGTATTTGCGCAGGGGTTCGGAACAGGAAGCTCTGACGTAAAGGAAAATTATAGAGATAGAGCCCCTTGACTCTTAACAGCCCAATGTTGGATCTTCGAAGAAGGAAGATTGGTATTGCGGGTCGTTCCCCCCTCCGATTGACAGGGATCTATTGCGGGAATTTCCGTTCTAGAAAGGGCCGCCCGAACTTTTTCGAGCGCCTCGGGTATCGCTGAAAAGTTTTTATGGCTCCAATGGTTCGAGCAAAAAGTCTATCAGTAATGGCTCAGAGGCCGGTACCTACTCCTGGCAGCCTGGATCGAACCTCTTCCACGGGGAATTTCACTCCATACCGTTGAACTTTCCCGGAAGCTTACGGGGGGGCAAACTCCCCATCACGCCGCCCGCTCGTCATGAGCAGGGAAAAGTACATGGTCGTAGCTAGAGGAGAAGTATTCCTCGTGGTCGCAAGTCTGGAATTCTAGAATCGCACATATAACTCTTGATAGGGGACTCGGTGGGCGAGAAGATACGGAGCGCATGAGCTCGCTTTACATGAACTTGCTTACGCCTCTTCCTGACGTTTGCGATACCACACTATGTTCCCCATTATCTGGGAGAATGCTCCAGTTGGGAGAAGGACGCAGTACAATTTCCTGAGCCGGACAGCTCGCTCTGCCGACATTCGCACTTGGGGCTACCCGACTCGAAGGCTGATAAAGAATCGATGTGGACCCACTTTCCACTTGAAGTCCTCCGAAAAGCTCCGAACATCACAAGTAGTCTCCCGAGATATCAGAGAGATCATACGATTTTCTCCCGTAAGGGATCACCAGCGTCAAATTATTGATGTGCTTATAACATATGAATGAGTGTGTGCCTGTATGTATGTACATACATACACACATCACGACCGACAGAACAGACGTGATCCACGGATGGTGAACAATCGCCACGGCTTTGGGATCTCCCTTCGGTATTACGCACTGATGACTCGACATTCGCAATCAGCAGGAGCGTCTGAATGCTGCAGAAGCGCCAATGAGCCGACAGGAGCTTCAGGTTCGCGGAGTCGGAACAAGACAGGTTCCGACCCTTACCAACAAGCCGAATCAGGCGAAGGAGCGAAACGAATGAGCTGGTGCGACACTTCCGAGAGACACGACGCAAACGTGCGAACACCCTGAGCCACTGGATCTCTTTTAGCGGACGACACGCGCAACAGCCCTCCTCGCGGATCCAATTGCAAAAGTTCCGCGATGGCGTGCGTCTGGTCGCAACCCACCAACTAATCAAGCAAGCATCGACCCTACGGAGCTAAGGAATAAGTAAGCGGGTACGAGCGGGTTCACTAAGCCCACTTGGAGTTCCTTCCCAGACAGATATTTTCCTCCTCCGCTCCGCTGCTCCAGCTTGACACAAGCGGACTCACTCGCGAGACGTCTCCCCTCGAGTCGTAGAGCTTTCGGGCCGGGTGGTGTTTGTTCATCGTTGGGCGGGACGTCTCCTCCTCAGCCGAGATTAGCGCCTCACGTCCGGGGGTCGAGGTCGGAAAACTACATACATAAGTCGCCACGGAAGGAGAATCCGTCATCACAACAGCCGGCCCGTCATAACAATCGGATTTGGCGCGACACGGTGCACTCCTCTTTCGGATCAGACTCTAGAGCAGAGGCACAGCCCCGTTACTTGCGCGGGGTGTGGAACTAATAGCTTAGTGACTCCATCGCGTCGGTGTAGAAAATTCGGGAAGGCCGTTCAAGTCTCAATGATCAGCTGGCCACGTGGGGTCCGAGAGTTCCTACCCCTCTCTCCGTTTCCTCATCCCCCGTCTCGTCCTGTGCAGGATAAGCGTCTGCCGGCGCAAGAAAAGCGTCCCCCCGTGCAGGAGCGGGCTAAATGACCGATGCGGAAGATACCCCTGCTTTTATTGACTTCAAGACAGCGGAAATCGTCGGGGAGGGGGTCGGAGGGGGGTGGAGAGGGGGTTGCTTTGGCTGAGACCGATCTCTCTTCGCTATCGGCCCCGATTATCCACCACGTTCTAGTCTCTCCCTCTTGTGCAACCGTCCGTGGATCTGCCAATAAAAGGATTATTTTGCAGTCTCCCTAATCAGGGCCAGACCGCGCCTGTTTTCCCTGCAAGGCCGCGCTCTGCCTCGTTCTCACCCCGGTGTTCTGTTCAGCATCGATGCGCTCCCGTCAGAGATAACAGTCGGGCTCGGCCTTTGACAGCACCTCTTCGGGCTCTGGAGCGGTGCTCCGAAGCAGGAACTAGATAGGGATCTTCTCAAGCTTAGAACATTATCTGACCCAATTCATAATTCCAGGACGAACTCCCATACTCAGACACTACACGACCAAGAAAAAAGGCCTCCTATCGAGCCTCGACGCAAACTCGATTCTGGTAACGGACGCCTGCACTATCGAAGGAAGCAACGTGCTCGTCATCGGAGACATCATGGAGTTCAACACAGGCAACGAACACCAGGTCTGTTTATCTGCCGGCTGACAAGCTCTAAGGTTTTAGGAGGCGACACATCGGCTTACAGTCCTCGCTCAGAAAAGAAAGTTCCCGGTCGGAGTTCGGTCGGCTTCACGCCAAATCTGTTTGCGACCTCATATTCTCTGGGCTTCGCTGGCCCAAGGACTGCGGGGCCTTGGATCTTGCACCGTGTAAACAAAAAATAAGCCTAGGGAAGTTCCCGTCAAATAAGACGAGTGGAATTATTCAGTTCTCAATCGGGTCACGCTCCCGGCAGGACTGCGTTGACCGCGAGAGTAAATCATTCACTCGAATTCTCTCTCGCTCTTCCTCACATAGCTAATCTTCACAGCGACCTCGTCGCACTCGGGCAGCTGATTCCGGAAGCGGGTCGCGCCTCGAAAGGGGAACATTCCTTCATAGCTCTCGACAGATCCCTCAATGGCCGCCGCTGCGGGATCCGAGCGAATCAATGAGCTGACCTCCGGAATTTCAGGACAATCCAAACGGCATTCCTCTATCGCTTCTTACCGGAATCGCTCTCGATGATTTCTGTGTCACTCCAAGCGGGTCCACTGTGCCCATGACCGATCTCCACAACCGACTCGAGTGGGAATGGAAACAGTACGCGTTTTCTGCCCAGGACAACGCGCTCACCCTCAAGCCGACCCACGACCTGGACTTCTGGGTCCACGTACTATCGGCGATGCTGAAGGGGGCACCTCTAGTTCTGCCTCCGTATTCGATCCGAGGTGAGTTCCATCAGAATCGAGTAAGCCAAATCGACATCGGAGGAAAGAATTTGTTATCCTCTATCCCCTGGCGAATCCCACGGAAATTCGGCTCCTGTAGTTCCCTCTCTCCTGAACCGCGTCTGGATCTTTGATGGGAAGCTCTCCGAAGGAGGGCTCCTCCGAGTCCCGATCGCTCAGTGACGATTCACGAGTCCAGGCGCGGCAATGAGAGGTCGACATTCGCTCATTGATTGGACTTCTCCCGCGCGTTCCCAGCTGCGGCAATCTGAGACCCCAGAGAGCCGCATCAGTCTTCATTGAGCGAACTCTCCTCCTCCCGAGGGAACATTCCATGGAGGAACAAGGCCTTCGGATAATTACGGCTGCAAACAAGGCACAATCCTCAACGGGGCCCAGTGTCATCGATCGATCGACAGCAGACGTGGAAGTTCGAAGACCAGTGAGGCTCAGTTAGTAAGCGCTCGCTCCCATGATTGGAGAAGCGTATAACCAGAGCACTCTTACGCGGGGTCGCGATGGCAAAGTTGCTCGATTAATTGCCGGCGGGCCCGCTCGATGGCTGCTACGTCCAAGTGCTATGTCCTGAGCTTATGGTAGCTACGAACATAAGCGGAACGAGAGAGTTTGAACTCGAACAGCAGAGCTCACACTCCTTTGCGCGAACTCCAGCAGGCCACCTAATGCACACACAAACATACGCCGCTCTATCAACCGAATGCGGGTATGGATAGAGGTAGCGGGAGATTGAATCAAAAGCGCTCAAACTTCCTGCGGGATGCCTCCTCGCTGCTCGTTGCGACGAATTGCAACACCTCCCCGAAACACAATTACCGCCTCCGAAGTCAGGGCTCAGCGAGCGCACTCTGGAGGAAGGCCCTCCGGGTTTAAAGTTTCAGAAAACACGACGAACATGAGCCGGTCTGTCGTGTTGCCTTAACGACAGCCACCGCCGTGTATGAAAGTCGAGGAGAAAATTTAGACCGAGTTCCGAGATAATGGAGTTTCCTGTTCGCCTTGAACGAGCTTTGCGTCCGCTCGGAATCTTCTGCGAGGCTCCTCCCGATTCCGGGTTTCACCTCTGCCGAGCGTTGCTCATAGCCGCGATCGATCGAGGGAGGAATCCCATCAGAACTGAGGGAAGGCTTTGATCTTTGTTCGTAGGGACTGTCTTGCTTCGTCGCTATTCTTCTTGGGCGCCTTCCTCGCTCTGCTTGAGTTGAAACTTGGCAACGCGAGGCAACTCGCTTGCGAAAGCGGAGCAGCAAACTGAAGTAACTCAATAACACGCCGCAGAGCGGGATGCAAATCAGGCTTTGCTCATTCTTCTCTTTGCCAACCTCTTTCCTCTTCTGCTGGCGAGGCTGCTGCTGTCTCTTGGAGCCGCCGCCGTCGTCGTCGTCTTCCAAATTTGAAAGTTGTCGGCGAGGCGAACGGGCTGCCGGAGATCCTAGCTCGGAGTCACAGAGAAATTCTCTCTGCCTTTTCGAAATCACTTGCGTTCGCAACTTGACGCAGCTCTAAATCAGCACCGTCCACACGGTGATTCAAGGTCGGAACCGCGACCTGCGCGGTCTTCCTCGAAAGCATTGAATCTATAAGATATGCGGCCTGCTTCCCGATGAACGAAATTCACGGGGAACGTCTCACCGAGGTTCCCTGGCAAGGCACGGAGCTTCTCCGAACATCAGATGGCGATCGAAACCCGGAATTTCCTCCGACTCGATAGAATGCACGTTTTATCCGATACCCGGGCCGAGACGTCGAGACAGTGTTCGAGTGATAGAGATCGATGAGCTTCCCGTGACGCGGGCTCGAACAGCGATTGACCGTCTCGCTCTACAACGAGATGTTCACGCTCTCTGGAGAGACTACATAACGTAGATCGCCCAGAGCTCTTCTCCAGCGGGGAACAAGGAAGGAGCCTCTTCCCTCTTGCTGGTTCTGTTCTTCGTCTCCTCGTTCATTGATGATCCATAACAATAATAATTGATCGGATTATATTCATCATTGAAGTATAATTTCCTCGACGGCCCTCCACGATGACGGAGCCCTGAAATCCCCTAGACGAAAATGGAGAACGGTGAGTTGGGGATAGAAGGCTTCTTCTCCCGAGCTGCGAGGTTTGTGTCGCCATGGACGACATCGCTAGAAAAACCCGCGCCTAATGCCGAGATTCGTAATGCGCGTAATCCTCCGAAGCCCCGAGATTGTGGCCGCTTCGGCGTGTTTACTGTGGAGAGAAGAAGCTGCTGCTGCTGCTGTCAATACCAAACCGAGAGAAAATAAATCTGCGCTAGACAGTCATGAGGCTTTCATGATGATGACGAGCACACACTAATAAACACGGCAATGGAACGAGCCCCCGACAACACTTGCCAGAGGCTTCGAGCGAACTTCCACCGCTTTCCCGACATGACGACCCATTCAGAGTTTACGCTACTGCTGCAGTCGGAGGCACCACAGGAGCCAACCAATAGCACCTCATTACCAGACTTCGGGAGAACGAGAGAGGTATATGTACATGCCCTCCATGGCGGGACGATACTCGAGATCTCTGACGTTTGAATGAAGCTCCGAAGCCGAGCTGCATCGCATGGTACAGCCCGTCCCTTCCGCGCAGACCTCGACTTGGCTCCGCATGGCGTGTTCCGTTTCCATCAGTTGCCGGTGGATTTTTGATCCACAATCACGGCTGATGAATTCGTTCCTGTTCCTCGTGTTGAATCCTTTGCCTGAGCTAACAAGGCTGGAATCAAATGGACCTCCTCCCCGAGACCAAACGAACGACGGCGTACAATCCCAGAATTCCGTCACTGCATCCTGGAGAGGGGGTCTTCGACTGGCCCGAAAAAAAGGGGCCCTCATTATCATCGATCATAAGTCAGCTTCATGTCGTAGTCAGCGGTAGAATATTCGAGCTCTTTGAGTCAGCGTGTTCTAGCTCTTTGTCATAGGCGAAGTCAAACGCAAACGTGACCGCTTCAAGCACTATTTCGAGGAGTGGGCGTGGACGTTGTACACTGGGCACTGAGGTCTCCTCTCGAGGCTGCCGCCTGGGGTCTAAATAAAGGACCGGTCTTCCGGAAGGAAAAAAGGCTCCGGGCTCCCGTCTGGCGAGTCCACCGCTACATCGAGAGGCAATCTCGACAACCTTGTGCCGAAACTAACAGCAAGGCCCGGAATCTTCTCCTGTTCCATTAACATCGCCGTCTGGATCTGAAAATATGAACTGGCTCATAGCGAAACTGTTTGTCATGCGTGCATTGTCGAACTGCTTCACCGAAAACTGCACAGCAGTACTTTGTTCACCGGCAGCTTCCACCAGGCCGACCGGTCAAGGTGACCGATGTTCCCACGCAGTTTGCTCTCAAACATGATTCGCCTGGTGTTTGCGGTGTATCGATTAATATGATCCCAACAGGCGGCAACTCAAAATCTTCGGTGCGACAAAAACGCCTCCGTGCATTTTCGAGAAGACCATGAAATCCACGTACATATGTCGCCTTATGTACTGTCGCTTCGAGCCGCATCCTCTTGCAGCCACCGCATATTAGCGGACCAGAACCAGGAACCGAGGAGCGTTACCTCGATTGGGCGGCGCGGTGTTCCAATTCGCGGCAATCGGTACTCGGACGCAGGGTCTACGTCGACGGCTGACTCACCGCGGAACACCTCTGCTCCCTATAGCCCTAAAGCGATGGGTATATGAATTTTTGGTTGTCAAATATCCTCGAGCCGCAAAAGGCTGAACGGGGAGAATATCCGTCATGTTGAGCTCAGCGAACCACTCACGAGCGCCAACGGGGTCGATGGTACTACGGGGTCGGGCATCAAAAATTAATCGCATAATCGATGAAGCCCATTCGGGCTCGGGAGTCCCGCCGCCCCAATAATAAGAGTCGGAACTGGATATGACCTCCACGAAGAGCCTAATTCGACTCTTAATGCTTCTGACTGGGAGCATGAAGGAATTTAGGACCTCCATAGCACCGGAAAGATGTTTTCCTCAACGTTACTTCCTTGTCGGCGGACTACGTGCCTGCGTGTCGACCGAATTCCACCTTATCGTGCAAGAGATGCAGCAGGAAACTCGAAGACGTAGGTAATCACAGCCTCCCCGCTGCACAGGACAAAGGATATTGAGAAAGATCGCAGTTGGTTTCGATTGGTGTTGTAGAGGAGCAGCTTCCAATCCGTCGGCACGACCAACCACGTCGAGCGGACACGCAGGCTGGAATGCGGGGCCAAGCGGCGCGGCATACACTGTGGACTATCGGGGCAGCCGTTGCTTGCTACCCAGCGCCTTTGCGAGGTCTTCCGGTCTGATTGCTGAAGTTATTGGCTCTGATATTGCGTACTCTGTACCAGTCTCGACGAAGTGCGCATTGTTTGACATGATACAGCCGATACAAGTCTGCTCTGTACATCGACATATGTGCGAGGCTCTGCCGCGGGCAAATGGTTACTCGAGCGACGGATCGCTTCCAAACTTCGAACTCCGGACCCTTTTTTTGATCCCACGGGCTGCATACAACACCCTCGCAAGCAGCGCTCGGATCGAAGATAGCCTCTAGGAAGCATTTTCCTCGCGGAAACTCCCCCAGATACGCCTTCATCGGGAGGGCCGAGTCGACTGTTCCGTATATCCTGGAGAGCGACGTAGCCTCTAATCGCGCGCTTACAGTCCCTCGCCAGAAGGTCCTGCTAATTTATTCGCCTAGACTCTATCCTAGGAGTCGTGAAGCCAGGCTTGCTCGAGGAATATAGAGAGCGCGGATGCGGGACGCAAATGTTTCCCTGAGGTTCAATCCAGTCCCCTGATCGTGGTGGGTCGTTCCAGGGAATTTCCTCGAGATCGCCGATTTCTGCAGCGAGAAGAAAGTCTGTCACTTGTTTGTGAGTCCCGATGAACTGAGCGACTTGGCGACATACTTCCGAGTCACGACTCCACTGGCGAAACACATCTTTCTCAAAAGCATAAAACGCATAACCTGTTCCGGTGACACTCTCCCGCTGAGGCTCACCTATCAGGGCATCATGTCTTCGTTTGCGGGAGTCGACACAGAGGTTAGTTATTCCCCTTCGACTCGATGAGGACCAAGAGACTCAGAGGGCCCAGAATTTGTCGGAACGATTCCCTGTGATATTGGAGGGGCTTCTTCAGACGCGATGCCTCGAGAGAGCATTCGTGTGATTCTTTATTCCCCTCTCCAGGTCATCTTCATGTTGACAAGCCAAGAGACGACCGAGATCGCTTGTGTAGGCCTCCCTGAATCCCAGAAGTGTATCGCCATTGACACTTGTCGTGCTGTCGTCGAACGCGGAGAGTTGCAGCTCTTGAGTGACACGAGGACCATGAAAACCGGACTGGGAGGCAATGGCAGCGGAGAGAGCGTGTTCTACTCGGACGCGGTTGCCAACTGGACTCCCTTGCAGAAAATCCAGGACATCGTGGCGGATATCCTAGGTGAGTTCTGATGATCCATCGAATTCTGATTGATTGATCGATCTATCATTCAACGAATCAACGGATCAATCAATCAATCGATACATGCAAGGATCATCGTCACGGAAGATCGATAAAACTTTCATGCCCGACAATATTGTGTCTCGAAGATAGGCGCCTTGGATCTCATGAGAGACCCTCATTTTCAGGACACAATGAGGTCGCCGTCTTCAGAGACACATTCCGAGGGGGGTTGATCTGCTTCTATCGGCAACATGAGGTCTACTGGCCAATCCTCTTCAACAAACTCTACAAAGAGCTCAAACCTGAAGAGAATCCGAAGCTTTTTCCTATAGTCGGCGAGAGGCCTTGGACGCCAAGTCAGTACATCGAGGATTACAGGTTGGTCAGGCTTCTTTTTGAGCGCTGCTTTCAGTTTGGCAATTTTTTCCCCGTAACATCCCTCGCGCCGACGGCTTGACACCCAGGGGGAAAATCGCCCGCTAGCTCTCCAGACTAATTTTTCCTCGGTATCCCTATGTTCCACTATCGCTCAAGCCCGTGCTCGCACCAAGCTGAGGAACTTGATCCAACGAACGAATCTTTGTCGAGCTCATCCTGGCGGTTTTAGACGACTCTCGTCATATTGATATTTGGTCATTACGAGCTGAAGTCTTGGTACTCGAGTCCCCGGTTTGGGATTACCCCATGTCGGTTATTTAGTCACAGTGTCTGGTGGTTTCGATTTACAGGGAAAGTGTGCAGAAACTTGGTGAAATGCCTGTGACAGCGTGCTCATTCGAGGGCGCTAAAATGCTTTTCGCTATGGCGGCACGACTCGTCGACGTAAGCATCGATGACTTCGAAGTGGACAAATCACTCAGCGAGTACGGCGCAACAGTCGATCAGCTAGCCCTGATATCAGAAGACTTCGAAATGATGGGCTTCGTCGGTATGTTCGTTCTTGATAGGTGAGTAGGTTGCTCCTGCGTCCTCGTCTACCTCTATTTACCTCATGAAACTTGATTCGATCATCGCTCTGTACTGCCGCCGCCGATGTTTTCGATAAGCCTTCTTCGACGCTTTCGGCTATTCAGGAATAACCGCTTCTCGAATATGTTCCAGAACCCTATGCATCTGCGATATCATACGTCAGACGTTGCCCATCAGGTCTGTCGGTCCCGAAGACCGACAATTCCTCGTTCGGATACTCGACGAGTCCGTCGAAAGGGATGAATGTGTCGACATAATCGCCGACGCCTTCTCGAAGAAAAATTGGCTTGATAAATGCATCGGTGAGTTAGTTCCCCCGCAAATGAGGCCCTATAAATTAATCACTTCGAACCATCTTCAAAATACTCAAGGCCTAGGGCGTCGAACAGCGGGGCGGATCCCCCGGAGAAGGCTCGGAAAATATACCGCGGGACGCGGGAGATCCCCTGGAAGACAGCTTCGAGAAACGGAGTTCTGAATCGGCTTTCCGATCTCATTGCCCACGCCTGCGGACCGCGCCACAGATCCGATGCGGGTCCCAAGCTCCGTTCTCGTTGCTGCTCTTCGGAGACATAGAGATAGTGATTTGCCGGCATCGGTCGTCCGCTCAGTTATTCGTTTGCAATCATTGCATGCACTCGATGATCGCCCACTCACGACGGATAGAAAATCTGAGCTGGGAGGCGCCGAGTGGGGAGACTCAATTCCGAAACTTCAGGGAACACCTGCTCTAAAAGATCCCTAGAAGTCTCACGAAGAGGAATCTCGGCGAGCAGGGCCATGCTCAGCGGGTCAAAGGAGGGACCGCGAAGCTCGCTCACAATTCGGGTACCCGGCTGCGTCCTGCTGTGGAAACAGCCGAACCCCAGGCAGGAAGGCGCATCTCGCTCTGCTCTGTGGGGCCTGGATATGCCACAATCAATAGAGCGATTAAACTTTCAGGATCCGTAAGCGGATCGACTCGCTCACAGCACGTCAAATTGAATCATCAGTTATGGGAAGACATCGTTCAACAATGTCTCGGGAAAGTCATCGTCGATTACCAGACACAAAAAGTCTTGGCTGTCATGACAGCGCTTGATTTTTCGGTGGAAGCTGAGGTGAATATTGCCCCGATGAAATTCTATCCCTCATGGATTAGACAGGTTCCCTTCGAGATCTGAGGGGAAGCCGAACAGCTGACCTAACCTGAGGTCATCTAGAATTTGCAAATAATCTCGACATAATTTTTCTGTGATGCATTCATCGTGGTGAAAAAAAACTGACCGGAGTGAGATCTCAAGCCGCTTCTCCCTCGTTTCAGATTGAAGGTCTTTCCGATGAATTCGAAGCAGTTCTTGAACTCCACGATCAGGTGGATCGACGACTCCGAGAGGCGTTCAAGGACTCGAAAGTCGCTTATATCTTTCAAGTTGCATCCGATCTCGAGCTTAGCCGTGAGGAGAACGTCGTCATAATGAAACTTCTCACGGACGAAATCATAGAGCAAACAGCCGCGGAAAACTCCGGTTTCAACGCGTGCCTCACTCACGCCTCACACGTCTTCACTCAGGTGAGTTCGCATATGTGTGTATGTGATTATGGATTCGACGCAAGAATATCGCAAGAATATTCAAGAATATGAATGTATGTGTGAACCATCCGAGCCTTTGCCTCACCTGTATGGCGGAATATGCTCCATGATCTCACCCGTTTTTTTCAGATTATTCTGGAAAACTATCAAGACTTCAATCGGGTCGCTAACATTGATGTTAATCGCTTTGAGATGAGGGGAAAGAAATATTTCGACCAAATCAAAGACGACTTCCATATCGTCTCGCTTCTGAAAACATTCGTTACTCACTGATTGAACGATTCTGGAACTCATACAAATCGCGTCAGAAAATTCAAATATGTATCCACGGAGACACCGAAGAAATTCACCTCTCACAAACTTGCATACATTCATCGAGAAGGCCTACAGATCTCCGATACTAAGATCAAGAGTTCTACCTGGAGAACGATATTAAAGTACGCTGGAATTAGAAAATTCGGGAAGAATGTTGACCTTTCCACAACTTGTTGATAAGATCCGCTCTCCAACGAGCTTGCATGTGACGAAAATGGCATTTTGTTGTTATGGTCGTCGGTCTCGACAGAATGACGAGGCTCGTCGACATCGTAAGACCGCGTATCGATCACGGCTGACGAAATCATTGTAAGAGTAAACGTCTGTGATGCTTTCGATGTGAACCGATGGTGGAAGGAAGGAACGACAATGCGCTCTTGTCACGAAACATCACGAAATGAAACCCTTCACCTGAAGTACTGGAACACTTTTGTCTTCGCTCTATTGATCTAATATCTATTTCACTAGTTAAGAGGGGCTCCTCTCAGAGACATCCGACACAATTTTTCTGAGGGAAAGCCAGCCATCGTCACTCTTCCAGGACGGGAAGTCGCCCATAGTCTGGATCATTCTCGAGCTCATCGTCGAGAATCCTTACGAGTGAAGCGGTGACTTGAGGTCGCCTGTGAGGGGCTTGGAGTAGACCCAATGAGGTCATAGGAGCGAATCGCATTCCTGTGGGAGATCCCGCCGCGTCAGATCATGACGGCAGTAGCACGAACCGTTCATCCGGAGCTCTACTTTCTTCCGGAAACCGAGCGAGCAGCAAGCTTATCTATTGAATCTTAGAGAGCTATCTCCGGTTTGATGTAATCATCAGAGTGAGGTAATGATGGAGGATCGACGTCGGTCGATTTGGACTTGACTCACCTCGCCTACATATTCACGAAGCATCCGACGATACGACACCTTCCCCGAAAATGTAGATCGCCCGCTTGACGAATTTTTTCAAAATATGATCTCTCGCGGTGGCCCTTCCCTCCATGGTGGCAGGTCTCTATGCAGATCAATCGTCTGTATTGCGACATGACCCAGGCTTTCCATCCGGCTACTCAAGGTTGAAATCCGTGACTCCCTCCTCCCCGGGGACGGTACCAAACGTGCATTGGAGGCCTCCAAAATTCTTCACTCTCTGATGCAATCGCTCCAGCTACGCTCTTTGATGCCAACCGATGAACAGCCGCTTGTTCGATTCCCAACGATCCATCCCGAGCATACTCGCGGGGACACTGCGGCTTCGAGATGCTGCGCTCCGCGCTGGCCGACGATGCCTGTATGGTCACGGACTGTTCTGTCGCTGACCTCTCCGCAGAGCGCCTGCTCTGTGAAAGCCCGAGAACGAAGAGACTTCAGGTCCGGGGGCTAATCGAAGGTCGTACAGGGCGGTAGCATCCTCCTCGATTACGCGTTTGTACTCAGAAGAGCATACGTGGTTCGGAAGTATAACCCACTGCAGCATCACACGCGCATATTGTGATTCTTCTGATTGGCATGACCATTCCCGTTTTTCAAAGCGTCAGGTATTTTCCCCCCATTTCTGACGCCGTTGACCGACACGCGTGAGCTCCTGTAAGCGACAGAAAAATCGTGGCATGCAGAAGACAATCATTGCGGATGAAGTTTCCACCCCCCATCCCCCCGATTTCGCCGGAGTGTTGTCGGAGCACGTATGAAAACTCCGCATGGCAATTCGTTGCCCGTATCGAAGACCTTGCCCGTATTTTCCTCGCGGGGATAGGGGCTGCGTCATTTCCTTGAGTTTCCCCTCGCTTCTATCAGTCAGAGGGAACCAACCACACCGGGGGACAAAGTTCATGGCATGCGGATATGGAGTAGAATACCCAGTTGATGGTCGAGCTTCACCTAACTTCCGACAAACGGTGTAAGACGGAGTGGAAGATAAGGCTCGGATCTTCGCGGATCGTAGCACGCCGGCTACATAGTGACCTCGTCGGATTCCATATTCAAATCTTCAAATACGATAACTCCGGATTTCACCAAGCAACAGGTCGCTTTCGTCCCATCTGAATGAAAGGGAACTCCCGACGAGGTGTCCGACGAAATATTCACCATTTGTGATGATGATAGCTTCATGGTTTGGATAGGAAGCGGGGCGATCCTTCAATACTTTATTCGCCATCCTATTCTCTCGGCTAGTATTGAGGTCTTGGAGCTCTCTTTTCCGACTGTCACAATCGAGAGCCGGGAACTGTTCGATGTTCGAGGGGTAATTGATCTCCGCTGGTATCAGCTCTTCCTAAGCGGTCTTGCGCAGACCGATGGATAATCACTCGGTGACCTCAGACCTTCGGGGATTATCCCTCCTCGGGAGCTGTCGACTAGACATCTATCCCCTTGAAGTGAGCCACATTAATGATATCCGCTTAGCGAAGCGCGAAAATAATTTCCGATCGCCGCGGATCGGGAGGCGCGAATAGTTTTCACCCTGTCCAATTAAGAAGAATCATCATAAGATTCATCATATACTATAATATATGGATAAGTAATATCTAATGTAAAAGATGCACCAGCTATGACTGTGCCCGGGGACTTGGAGTGAGCAGCTACAGCGGGAACCCCCTGGATTAACATTCGATCCCCACGGGCTGCCCATTCTATCTGAGAGAGATCGAGAATTCACGGGAGCTAGTGATTGATCTAATGCACCGAGGTTTCCATCAGACCTCGTTCAGTGGAGGAGTTCGGCACGATGGGGCCTTCGTGAAGGAGATCACCCCGAACCCGAGCTCCGTTCGCCGCGAGCGGCCGCCTACCCCTGCCGCCGAGCGATACGCGGAAGTGAAGCCGAACACATCCTAGATTATTTCTATCAAGGGTTTGAATCCGACGATCCCGACGACTGATCGGCCGACTTTGATGTACTCAAATCCTCCATCTGCAGCAAAGCCGTGGGCTTTCATCGCATGAGCCTGATGCTGCGATCTCCATCAAATCGATATGCTCCTCGAATGTATCGAGGCAAAAACCCTCTCACAAATGAGGATCGCAGAGACTCGCGTCCAGATTAACCGCTCAACCGGACCCGGATTGGAATCAAGTTTCTACAGCGTACACTCACGCCTCTGCATGGGCAACGATCGCCCCCCCCTTTTTCCCGTGCGCGCTACCTTCACCCGGAAAAGCGGAAGAGACGATACAGCACGTGAGAAGTGATGATACAGGAACTGGGTTCCTGATTGTTTGGACCGGAAACCAGAATCCGGTAGCCAGCCCTCAGGGAGGGCCGTCGTCTGCACTGACTGCCTGGAACTACAGTGAAGTATAGAGCGAGCGGCTTTTCTGACTCGAACTCGGCGACCATTACGCTCACGGCGGAGGATTGCGGCTTCTCGAGCGGCAGGCACAAACGCATCTCACAGCGCTCTCTAATTCTCGCCACCGAGATGATCCCGCGGTGCCACAATCGAATTTCCCGTCGAATTTCGTTCGGAGCTCTACTCGAGAATTATGAACCGAATTCTGACAGCGACTTCGGTTCCAATTCAGCCATCAGTTGCTCCCGGGTACCGTTCCCGTCTCGTAGGGCAGATTCGCGCGTTGTGTTGATGACAGTGGCCGGAGAGCTGATGGAAAGTCGAGAGAACTTTAGCGCAGACGCACCAGGCGGCGCTCCGAACGATGGTTCGATGTTCCGATACCCTCGCCACTGCACACGACAGCGGGCCACTGTAGTTTCCGCGGATGAAATACACAAGTTCTTTTTTCCGCATCTACTGGTTAACAGTCGATGCCGGCGGTTTTCTCGAGTGATAGTTTTGGTGAGTGTCAATAGTCGCCCCGGTCCCCCAACCGGTCCCACGGATAACAGAAGACCCCGCGGCGAAGGAGTGTCTGCCCAGCGACGACTACCACAGTTTCCTACTGAGAGATCGACTCGGTTCAGATGATTGGAAGCAGGATGCGGGCTGGAGGAGGACAGAAATATTCTTCCTCTCAGTGAATCGTTGGCACGCGGATGCCTACTCATCGTATGCGGACTTCCATCAGCGGATGACCTGTATTAGAGAAAATCTATGCCGTGTTCGGAAGTGCGAGTTAGACCTCTCGGACCCGATCGAGATATTCGCTCGGATTTTCCCAGCTGGAAGTGCTCGATCAGAGTCGGAGATGCCGTGCTCACTCTTGGCTTCTGCGCATTGGCGTCATAAGTCGACATTTCGCCGCAGAAAAAACGGGCACATGTTTTTCTTCCAAGGTCAAGCAGCGCGTTCGAGCCGAGCTCGCGTAATAATCACATCTTACCGACCGTCACTGTACTACATTTAGTTATTGCATTCTACTGGCAACTCGATCCCGATGCGTCCGCTGAAGGCGTCGTCTCATCAACGAGCTCAGTCGATTGTGTATCCCTTAATTAATCCGAACCGAGCGGGCGTACAGAGAGCTCATCGGTTTGAGAATCTCGCGCTGGCTACCCGAAGACGAGAGACTCCTCCGGCGATGAGATATTCTGAGAAAGAGCACTGAGGATTTCGCCTCGACCGGCGTTTCGTGTTGACGTTCTGTTCGCCGATCTCGCGGGTGTAGGCAATGCCGGAGCCAAGCAGAAGAGAGGACCGAAAGAAGAATCCTCAACCGAACCCGCTTCCCAGATTTCCGCGATAGAAAGGTCTTCGAAGCGCGCGCTATCTCCAGTCCAAGAGAGCCCGCCGCCGGAATGGTGGAATTGGAAGGGACAATGGCGCACCGAGTATTAACTCCATTGAACTGCTTGCGGCGCTCCAGGGTAGAAAGCACTTTCGAGCTGTCACCTAGTCTACTGCGGCGGCCTGCCATTAACGTTCGACTTCTTCCAAGCTAACAAAATACAAAAATCGGTAACCGATAAAAGTCGGTGATCATTAGAATCGATAGGTGAAACGGTATCGATTGGATGAGCTCGATATTGGGCTCCGGGCCGTTTCTTTATCCGGATCGGAATTGGAAGAGATTCTACTGGCACGAAGGTGAAGACGCCGTTCCGGCCTTTGGCGCCAAGGTCGCCGGGAGAGATAGTGCTGGAACCTTTGACTTTGACCTCATCGTTATCTCTCTCAGCTCAAAGGTTCTTACTTCGGGTCACTAAGCTCTACCGGTCTTTCCAGTACATAATTCGAGCGGCACGCGGGAAGCCTGAGGTAAGATGCACGTCACAGCGATATTGTGCACTTCGGCTCGCACGATATCGCGGAGCACCGTCGCGGCTCAAACGAAACCCATTGTGAAGCCTCAGAGCGCGCAAATAAATGAAGATAGGAAGTATCGGATGCGCCCTATCAGCGAATTGCAGACCGAGAAGAAACAGGTGTACTATAAGGAGCGTACGATAAAAGTGAGTTATTCTGGAACTGGTAATCCGAGATAATTCGAAAGGAAAAATGAATGTGCTCGGATAGCTCAAAGAAATCTGAATCATCAAGATCGGCGGTCTCCGTCAGTTTCCGCATGGCTACGCGTTCGACGTGAGTTGGCGAGTCCTGGATAGCGTGTTGGCATCAGCTCAGTTGGAGAATTCCACGGACGCTTTAGTTTCTCCGGTCAAACTTTCCTACATATGTTATCCGATCCGAAACTCGGTAGGCACGCAATCGATTAACGTTCGAGCGTTGCCTCCGGATCACCCTATGCCCGTCCGTGGTCGAGAAGGAGACACCTCAATCGAATCGTCAACAAACTCATATGGCAGCAGTCGCTGCTTGTTCGCCGATACAGAGAGTTGCAGCTGGTAGCATAGACTTGTAAAGCACTCGCAACAGGAATCGACGGAATGACGCACAGCGTTTCAACTCTTTTAATTCGTGATTCGAGAATAAACGTCTCTCATCATTCAAGACCCTGAGGGAACATTGAAAGACCTTCGATTTTCCAGGTGCTCGCGTGCAAGGACCTGTACCCTGAATGGAAACGATCGAAGCCAGGCTGGGAACGCGTGAATCCGAATGGTTGTGAGCTCGACGTAAGTTCAATGAACCTTGTGGTCTTACTCTGTTATCCCAGCTGTCCTCGGGTTGATCCCAAAGGTGCGGAAGAAGACGGACATCAAGGACTTTCTCCTACGCCAGGTGCCTTTTATCCACACCGGGCTCGACAGAGGCCGTAAAGAAGCTCCCACAATCGTTGCCATTCATGGATCGCCTGGGACACATCGTGACTTCGATGGACTTATCCCGGCTATGGACAACATTGGAGCAAATGTTATTGTTCCAACATTCCCGGGTGAGTTGTCAGAGAGTCGAAGGAATAGGTAATACAGTAAGACCTCGCTTATCGCGACCTCATTCATCGCGACCTCGCTATATCGCGTTTTTTTTTTCCCGAGCATAAAATTATGGAAAACGAAGAATTGCCGCGCATACTGCGAGCAATGCCTGGCGTAGTCGTTAGAATGCTCGGAGAGGTTCCCGAGAGATTGATGCGAGCTCTGAAAGTAGAGACGGCATCTCAGAACTCGGTGCGTGCAGACGTCCTCAGTTGGTGGGAATAATAGACTTGGACTGATAGAAGGAGCCCTAATTTATATGTAGTCAATGAAGCGTACAGTCTCAAGAACTGTGCATAGTGACATATTAGCTTACCACAGAGACTGGTTATTGATGAAGTAAAGGATAACTCTTCGAACAATAATTGTCCTCTATTAGCTGAGAGCGTTGAAGCTCCAAGTCGGAATACCACTCCCCAGGATACCCGAATCCTTCTTCGCGGATTCCCCCTTATCGCGGAAGCCTCCGGAACCGATTGACCGCGATAAGCGAGGTCTTACTGTATATCCCTTAGCTCTGCGGTTCTCAACCTGGGTTCCGCGAGCCCCTGCTCGGCTGCTCAGACTTTTATTCATTTTATCGAATTGGAATGAATTTTCTAAGCCCTAATGCATGCAGGATACTTCATGCGATCGTGGTCGAAGGTTTTGAGGTGATTGAGGGGAAAATTTGGAAAGATAGAGTCCGAAACCAATAATAAGGGTTCCGCGGAACCCCACCAGGGTTCCGCAGGGCAAAAAAGATTGAGAACCCCTGCCTTAGCTAAGCTTTGATCAGGAATTGCATCGACAGGAAGGCGTCAGTGTAGGGTTGATACTCAATGCGTCCAATCTGCATCCATCTCTCTCACTCGTAATGCGATTGAGCACGTATCGGCACACACGAGTGACCGATAGCAACGGCGTCGGTTTCCCGCTGACTGAGTCTGTCGAATCGAAGAGATTCGAGGAGCTCGCTCTTGGGCAGCATCTTGAACGCTTGGCTATTCTACCGAGTAGGTTATCGACGGACGGATTCGAAGTCATGCAATCTGCTCACCGATTCCCCTTCCGTTCGCAGATCTCCGCTACTCGATGCAGACTCAGAATTTCTGGCACTCCCTAGAAGAGAAGACAGATCTGCTGCAGTCGTATCTGCAAGCCCTCGGAATACATGAAGTAAGTTAGAAGTCCCAAAGCTCACTCAGATTTCTTTCGATCTCGGGGAGCGAGCAATCAGAATCTCGAACAGTGGAGGAAATTACCTAAGAAAATATTCATCCGAAATCATCTCCGACAGGTTGACGTGTTGATTTGTCACTCGTCGGCAATGTACTCGGCGATCCAGGTGGCTCTCAACTCAAGCATCAAAGTGAATTCCCTGGTATTTTTCGCTCCGGCTGGCTGCCGTCAGCTCACGCAATTGAGTCCCCTGCCGTTGTTCCACTGGTACAACAGACATTTCCGCAAACCCTACGTACAAAAGATCATGATGGGTTTGGCTGTCGGTATTATCAAAGTTTACTCGAAGCCGTCCACCGACACCGTTGGTACCGTGACCTCGATGATAACGATGGTGCAGAGTGGCTACGATGACGCCGAACCGTGGTGTAGGGAGCTACACGAGAGAGGTAAGCTCGGTGTCTATCTATATGGTGAATGAGCGGGAGGAGGAATATGCTGTCGAATGCCTGGTCGTGATGGTCTCGTAACGGAGATGTCCAAGTGCAGGCTTCGATTATTTGAAGATTTCTCTCCGCTCAGGTGTTCCGTCGTTGCTCATGTACGGCAAACGGGACAAATTGATCGACGTGGCTATTTCTGAAGAAATGGCCGGTTTCATAGGGAATCCCCACAAAGAAACTTATTACGTCTACGAAGGCGAGGATGATACCAAAGCGAAACTCGCCGTTGAAGTGAGTTCCATCTCCCCGCTTCGGTCATATTTCAAGAAACGTCCCGAAACTCCCTGTTTCGGGACGAGAAAGCAAACGCTAAGCGACTGTTGCTTCTGCAGGGAGTCTCAAATTTCGTGTTACCTGAAGTGGTCTGCTTCGAACGAGGCTCTCATTTCGCCTTCCGGAAATTCCCCGGGACCTATAACTACCACGTCGGGAACTTCCTTCAGCGACACATCCGAGAAAAACTCGGGAAATGAGGCTCAGGGTCCGTGATCTACCTAGGATGAATCAATTTGTCTTCGCACGATAACACCGCCGCCACCACATCGCGATGGTATATTAATTGTCCAGAGTTCTAGAGCTTTCTGATCATTGTTTCCTTCTAGTTTTGGATAACATAAAAAAGTGGTGCATCTGCGAGGGAACAACGGTGGCGAACGAAGCTACCCTATTTTCAATGTGATCTTTACTAATATAAGAATCGGTGTTCTGAAAACGAATCGAATTTCGGGTACAGAGTTCTGTTCTCCGGATGGTGCCTTCTATGGATTTGTGGGAGCGCCGTGGTCGAGTCGCTGACATGATGATCATGCATTGCCGATTCTTCAAGGGAGAAAATGGGAAACGCCGGAGGGCTGTGATCGGGTGCTCGGGATGGGAAGATTCTGCGTATCTGATCACTATTGTGATATTATGTAAAATTTCAACTTTGTCTCTGGAAAGTTGAAGTTGGAAAGTTGAAACAAAGAGTGTGTGCCGGCAACAGCTCCTCTTTCCACATTCATCGAATTTGAACTGCTAATAAATTGATGGTAGGAAGGAATATCAAATCATTCAAATGAGTTCTACTCGGGTGCCAATGCACTCGAGCCATTGGAGGATAGATATCCGGGAAACGCTTTACATGAATATCCAGGAGCTGCACCAGGAATTGGCTCATGAGGATCCATGCAGATTTCGTCGCCCCGACCCTGTTTCAATACTGTTATCTTTCTCAATGTCGTGCTCCTGCTGGCATTATAGCTTACGGAGATAAGGGTATTTCGGTAATCGTCCTTGGAGTCAATGTGATCGTGGAGGGTCCTTCAAATCTGGAGAGAGATTGTGGCCTCCTCCTCTCCACGACATCAGCGTCATCACTTTCTGGCTGATTAGAAGTGGTCGAAGAGGCTAAAAAATTAGAGAACCTGGTTTGGGAACTCTCCTAGGAAGAGGGAATGCGGCGGAGATCCGTCGCCTTTGGAATCCGCCCCGGAGGCTATGGCCTCTATGGCCGTGCTGTGAATGCGCCCTTAATGTATCCTATCCACAGCATCTGAACAGTGGCTTCGTTCGAAACGAGCAGGAAAATCTCTTGACGAGTAAAACAGGGGATATGGATTCGTCTACGGGACCTATCAGGGGTTTGCACCAGCGCTCCGCGTCCGGAACTGATGACATCAAGCTTCATGAACGCCCACAAGGTATCGATCGAGGTGAAGACTGTCGGTGAACTATGAGAGAGCAGCATGTTCTCTCTAGATTACCAGAACTGGGAGCCTGGGGGACGGTCGGAAAGCTCACCGCACCTGGCTTCGCGCCCGCAGAACTGGAACCCATGGTGCCGGAAATGCAAGGCAACTCGAAACGAATAGGTGAGAAACTATACAAAGTCGCCGCTCACGAGAACAACATCATCAACCCATAAGAATGCACTCGAGGCTCCGCGGACGAAGAGATTGCCACCTTGGCGAACGGCCCGCGAAATCAATCTGTGGTCAACGTTGTCTTCGCGCTCTGTTTGGAATAAGTCCTCTGCTGTCCTTTCCCTGGCTCCTCAAATACGTACCGGCTCATTATCCTCCGAAACACGTGATGGATTTCTTCACCATTGTCGTCGGTCAAAACAAGTCGGAGGCAGAGACAGTTTCCATGTAAAGAGATCGATGTCCTCGGACTGTGGCTAGAAAAACAGGGAACGAATCCCGAATTCACGGACGCGGTGCAAACGTTCACGCTTCCCACCAGTGGGTTCGGAAGCCCGGCCATGACATGTTGGCGCTTCATCCAGAAGCTCAGGATCGGGCGCACAGGACAATTCCAGAAAGCCTTACCGACATCGTCAGCATCAACCACGACGATAATTGCAAAATGAAGTTCCTTGAAGCGAGATCCGCCGAAACCCCCCCCCTATACACGACTTCCCATCATATAAGGGACCGGATAGCGCAAGCTCCGTTCGCGATTGTCGACATGAAGCTCGCGGCTGGAATGGCGGCCCAGGCCCTGTTCCTGCCATGCATCGAGACCTATGAAATATCGTCCAGAGCAATTCTCCGAGGAGGATTGTCAGACTTCCATGGCCTTCGGGGATGAACCTGAGGGCTGCACCGGGTGACGCGACGTCTCGCTCTCCTCCAAGCGTCCGTCCTGCTCACCGCAGCCCTAATCAAAGTGCGGTTGAAGCCGCGAATCGATGACATAGACGCAGATATCTGGGAGTTACCGATTAAACAGAATACAGACATACCTTTTCTGGCGACTCCCGAAGACTTCATCGATATTTGTCTGTTTCTGAGATGGATGAATTCAATTCTCCGACCTACCCGCAATCGGGATCCGATCAATCCGATCGCAATCAAGATCATCGGATTGTACACTAAATCGATAAATGCCGGACTCACCCGGAATTATCGGCGGGTCGCTAGATGCGGGGAACATGTCATACGAGGGTGTACAGACAAGAGGCGTACGCAGAGAAAGAACTAAACGGGCTGGAGCCTCCTCTCAGATGGAATAGGAGCGAATCCCCAAAACACATTCCAGCCCCATGCGGGACCCGATCTAGCCTCCCCCTTCCGGAGGCAAATGCCGCGTACGCCACTGGTACCAAGACGTCGTTTAACTATGGGCAGAAACGTGCTTCCTGCAACTCGCGATGTCGGCCCATTTCGCTCGACGGCACCTGGAGAATCCTTGGATACAGAAGGAGAATGCGGAGTCGCTGACGCATCTTGATGCAATGGATCGAGTCAAGAGGAATCTTCAAAGGCTAGAAGCTCATGATACTTCCCCTCATATTAGTGGAACTAATATTCGCGTATAGTGACAAATCCCTGGCGATGCGATGTTCGGAGAAATGCTCAATCGAGCGACATGTTTGTAAATAGTTCCCTCATCGCCTGTCGCACAAAGGAAAATTTGAACATCATATGTAAAGGAGACTTCAATCTGATGAATGGTCAGCGATTTCGACACGATACCAAGAGCAACATAAATGACAGCTAAGAGATGGGTTTCGTCAGAACTTCCGCTTCCGTTTTATTTCATCGAAGTTTTATCTGTCGGCATCAACGACAAATATACATGGTATAGGAGATGGGAAGCGAACTTCGTTGACTGCTATCTCTGATGCATCTAATTACTCCCGGGTAAGAGAGAAGGGGGCAGAGGTGAGAGTACCTACGGCGTCAGACTTTCCCCTTCCCGCTCCCGCGATGGGAGCCTCGGCAAGTCCCGGAACCTATGAGCGCGAGCACTCTACAGATATTCACGAATCAGACTGTGTGACGGGAACGAGAGCGATCTCGGAACGACTCTATTCATGGTTCGGAGTGTCTCCGTTGTCTCAACCGTTCATGTTATAGATATAGATCACAGTGGAAATGGGTTCGAATCTCGATAGGTTCACCTTTCTTCTGCTCCGCTCCAATGCGATCGTGAACACCTGGATCTCCAACGGTATAATGTCACTCCCCGGTATAATGTGGCACCCCATTCATCTGTTTATTGAAACTCTCCAAAATAATTAAAAAATCGATCATTAAAACATAGCAAACCTTGTGAAATACTTCACAGGCGCTTCAGAATTGGCATTTCTGTAGCTCAAGGACTTAATATTAGGACTCTCGGGAGCAGGAGACGCTACGATCTCGGAGTCTACTCAAGAATCTAATTTCTTCGTAGACTCCGTAGATTCGAAATCGGAATATGATATTTTATCAGACACAATGGTACCGAAGACGAGGATTAGAGACTCAGACGTCCAAGACTTCTTTCGAACTCATACAGCCAGGATTATTCAGTGCCGTAGTCTCAAAGATCGTCTCGATCAATCGACTCGAGTTGCCGGAAAATGAAATTTGATCACCCCTGCCATCGCTTGTATTTCGAGCCATCAAAGATGGACGCATCCGATCGATTTCTGAGGGACTCCAGAGTCTGTGACCCGATTTGGCCTGCCGCTGCTGACAGAATCCTTGAGATTCAACACAATCGAGCAAGCCAAGCGAGCAAGAAAGGGACGGGGAGTGAGGAATTGGCGAGGATGCTCGAACTTCGACTTTATCCTGAATTTCATCAGGATGCTACCGCATCCTGTGCGGGGCTTGCCGTCGGAAACCCTCACTGGAACCAATGCCGAGAGCGTAGGCTCCGAGCGCCGGGGTTTCACCACTAAATCTTGTCGAATCTTGGATTCATGAATTCTTCATATATTCATGAATCATCCAGATATTCCCATGCTGTTGCCTGCAAGAATCGGATAAACTCCCTATTCGCTTGGCGACACTCGCGACGTATACGTAATGGCGCAAACATTCAGGGCGCCTCTTGAGATACCATAAGGATACATATACGCTTTAGCCTCGCTAGAACACATTAGGATATTGGAAAGCATCTAATGCCCCGATCCAAAGACTCTTTCCAGAAGATTAAATGATCTGCGCTGTGAGACTATATCCCATGAATGAACTCCTCCGCTCGCAATGGAGATTGCAAGTTCATCGATGGTACGCGCGTCAGAACGGGTTTGACGATCCCATTTTGTATTTCGTCAGCTCTTATACACTACACCAGCCGTGAGGGCGCGAAGCGCCCTCACGGCTGCCCGCGTGCGCTGCTTCTTGAGCTTGAGCTGTTTAGCAAAGAAAAAGATAATAGAGTTCGAGGAAGAAAATCGATGATGATGACGACAGCATAGCTCTCGTAGAATAGTTCGAAAGGTAAAGGTGATATAGCAGGTTCATCCGGATCGAATGTCAGCCTGCCATTCTCCCTCTCGCGGTGAAGCGCTTCATGTATATGTCCTAAATCTCATCCTAAATCTCATAGAACAGCATAGCATAGCATGGCATAGTCGCTAATCCTTGGGCAGCGGGATGGTACTCGGCGAACTGCTTGGTGGATCTCGGATAAGAACATGATCAAACATTCCGAAAAGTACATCTCAGCTCTCGTAGAATAGTTCGAATGGTAAAGGTGATATAGCAGGTTCATCCGGATCGAATGTCAGCCTGCCATTCTCCCTCTCGCTGTGAAGCGCTTCATGTATACATGGTACTCGGCGAAGTACTTCTCATAGAACAGCATAGCATAGTAGTTTAGTACTTGGGCAGCGGGATGGTACTCGGCGAACTGCTTGGTGGAGAGAGTTAGTGGAGAGGGCCGTGACGAACAACACCACTCGGACCGGGGTGGAAAAAGGTGATTTTCTCGGATAAGAACATATATACATATTCCGAAAACTACATCTTACACTCCTTCAGGCGGCTCCGCATCTTGTCAGTGTAATTTTGAGTGGGAGCGAGCAGGAATAGGCACCGATAAATGTTACGGCGAGTCGGGAGCTTACTGTTTTATTATATAAGGGGGATACCCAATCATTCGGGCCCGGATTCCTGTGCGTTTTCATATATTGGCATACTGCATATATCTCATCATTATGTCCGAAAATCAAACTCCAATCTCAATGATCATGGTGAAGTGCCCCTGAGGCCGAAGATGCTTTTCTCTCCCGTGCTTGACGTAATAAGCACCCCATCGAGCTCCGCTCCGAAGTCTGTGGGACACCTGTCTCAAACCCTTCGAAAGAATCAGCGCGCGAAACCACGGCGCATGACCTGCACGCGAAACCTCCTCGAAGATCTGTACGCGAGAACCCGACAGCGGTACTCGAGCGCTCCGCCTCCGAAAGATGCATACGCGAAACCACGCCGGAAGATATGACACGGAATCATCTCAAAGATCTGTGCTCGAAACCCCGGAAGCTGCTCTCGAATCTCCGGAGTCTCCCTTCCACCTTCCGTCGTTTAAGTCCCGCGCTTTTCCTCTTTCCGTCAGATAGTTGTTCTATGAGAGAGAAGTAAAGTGGAGGAGCTGGTTGGAGGAAGTGACCAGTGGAGTACCATGTGCTTACGGTGAAGCGGTCCCGTTCGGTTGCCGTGTATTGGCTCCAGAACAGAAGGGCAATATGAAGTTTACTGAGCACCTCGCAGCGCACATAACGCCGGAATGGCGGAAACAGTACATCCTCTACGAGGTGGGTCTAAAGAGAAGTCAGTGAATCAGAGAACAGCTCCATTTCTTGGAGTTCAAGGTCCGAGGCAACTTGAGAGATGCGATAAAGCGTCTGCGGAGGATGGAGAGATCCAGCTCTCCAGCGAACGTCACGCTCTCAATCCGTAGGGACTGCTTTTTTGAATATGCTGCTTGAAGGCGTTTCCCCGCCTGCGCGAACCGGATTCTGTTTCGGAAATTCCGAGTGAATTTCTTATGCGCTCCGATGATTGACTGTCCAAAGGAAAAAGTCTAAAGGGAATCATCCAACTGCCTCGAAGAATTTCGACTCAAGATTCCGGCCGCAGCGCTTTGGGGAAGAGTCGCTGCGAAATTTCGCGCAGGATACCACTCAAGAGAACTTTGGAAAATGAGTGCGATCATCTGACCTCCTAATAATAATCGCCCCATGGATTCGGATCAAATTCGGCGGAGCACTTCGCGATGGCTCCCCCGGCGATTTGTATTTCTGATTTCCGTCAGATGAGGTCAGTTGTTATCATTGTGGCCCTGACCATCGGCCAGCATCTCGTCAGACTCATCTTGTGAGCATATGCTGTCCTTCACCTATCTGGATCACATGTCATTTCCGATCAATGTACTCGAGAAGACCTCATGACTTGATACCTGTGGCCATTGAGGTTCTAGAAGCACGATCCTCAACAGTCCGTATTGAGCAGCCTTCGGCGGACTCGGAGTATCGGAGTCGTGGTGTCGCCAATCCGAGCTCAGATGACCGTCGCGAGATCGTATACCGAGCTACACTAGAAGTGGCTTGTCCTGCGAAATGTCGGGAGACGATTCCATATGACGAACGGTGAGAATCAGACCGTTCCGCAAAAGCATGGATAAATTCATCACGAGCATGAAGGACGATCGGCCGATTCAGCCAGACTGTAGAGTCGTCCATACAGGGAATTCTGGAAGGCATCAAGAGGGCTCTGAGTAAGCACCATACTTCTGATGATCTGATTCGCCCGTCGAGAATCGGGCGAAGCGGATGGAGATCCAATGCCTGAACTGCTGCCCTGGTCTGCGCTCAAGAAACCTCATGATCAGATATTTCCATTTGGAAGCGTAGGAGGCATATATCTAATTCGCACCATTCGCCCAGTGTCTCTCGAACTAAAACAATTTGGCTTCCGCGGCCTGGTACAGCCATAAACTTTATGAGGTCTTGAGTTCTTTTTTTCCGACGGTAGCCATCGCAATGATACTCATCGTCAAACTCGGAGCTGGGCCTACCGAATCCCGGGCAGTCAAGCAAATCGCCCGTGTAACATAAATCTTGAGCCTCCATCGGAGTGTGACAATCAAGTAGATGTGTTCGCGGAGACCCAAAGCGGCCAGAGGCGCACGGGACGCCGTCTCAGATCAGATTAGCTTATGTAATGTCGAAGGCTAGTGATCTGAGCCGGCAAATCGATCGACACATCCAAGCATCGTCTAATTATGGAATCATTTCTGTATTCGTATTCTACAGGAGATGAAGACCAAATTGTACGATGCGATCGAGAGAGCTCCATCCGCAGAAGGTAATCAACGTGGAAACTCTAGATATACGAAAATGACATGATTCGGCGCTGTCTCGAGTTCGTGGCAGATCTCGGAACTGATTTGATCTTATGGAATGACACCGCCATTCGATCCTGACTCACACTTTCTCCCATTCAAGTTGTGGAAGTGAGCATAATCGAAAGATACCTGGCAAACTTCGACGAGGACTTCTTGCAGTATTGCGATAAGGAGCTGTCGAAAATCAATACCTTTTACGCCGAAAAACTGGCCGAAGCCACTCGGAAGTTCAGTAACCTCAAAGCTGAACTCTACAATTACGTAACCAAAGTAGAAGGAGGACACAGCAAGTTCGACCAGAAACGCAAGTGAGTTCCATTTAGGCATCGAAGCTTAGAGCTTCCCGCAAATTCGCTTTCTTCCTCGAAAGCGCGATCTCTAATGAAAGAATTTCACTCCCATCCTGCTTGCTGACAGACAGGCGGCGTGAGTATCGTAGATCATCTCGAGCCTAAACACTGATTCGCCAGGACGTTAGAGAAATGTCAAAGCGAATATACAATAAGTATTGCTGTCTTTTCCTCTTTTGCGACCTCTGCCTCCATCGTTCGAACCGTCTTCATCCTTGCAGAAGCGTGGCGCTAACGACGCTGGCCGCTCCCTTCGATCGGAAAGCCAAGGAAGTCAAATCGCACACTCGGAAACTTCACGACTTGAAGCTCGCCTTCTCAGAGTTTTATCTCTCGCTGATACTCCTCCAAAACTATCAGAATCTCAACTTCACAGGATTCAGAAAGATACTGAAGAAACACGATAAGCTGTTAGGTGAGTACGGTCGTCCCGATCTTACTTTCAGGAATTTTCTTGTCTCTCATTCACCCTCAGCGCAAATAGATGAGAAGTCATCTGTGTATTTCCAGGAACGAATTCCGGTGCACAATGGCGTCAGACCTACGTCGAGACGGCCACATTCTACACGAACAAAGACATCGACAAGATCATTCAGGAGGTCGAAACTCTCGTAACGAGTCAGCTAGAAGGAGGCGATCGACAGAAAGCCATGAAACGATTGCGAGTACCCCCACTCAACGATCAACAATCTCCTTGGATCACCTTCAAAGTGGGGTTCTTTCTCGGCGCGTGCCTCATCCTCATGATCGCGGTCGCGCTGTCGGCAGTTTACACTCAGACTCGGAATGACTGGAGGGTTGTCTTCAGGCTGTACAGAGGGAGCTTTCTCGTTGGTACGTCAGAGCGTATGATTCTCTATCTCAGGACATCCCCAGTCCGTCAGCCAATCTCGATACAGAATGCTCCATCTAGAGTCGAACAAGTCGAGCGGGGACGAATTCTCGGGGAAGTTTCGGCAGCCACTGATAGTTAGCCGTAGCCACGGCCTCACGATCGCGCTGGGTTTCGAACAGCGAGGCGTTCTGTTCCGTCTGTTCAAATGTTGGGCCATCAGGCCAATCTGACTCAAGTGGCTTCGTTGACAATGGCCTTGTGATTCAGATGAGTCTCTCTTCGTATCCTTGTCAGCCGTCCCCAACGAGTCGTTGTTCCGAACAGGTCCCACTTTAATCGTCAGCTCGAGTTCCGTCATAAATCAAGTGCTGCTCTTTACACATCGACTTGACAGACGGAGAAGGCGGTTTTCTCCGAACGCCGATTGAGCTGAGGAATTATTGTACTGCGCAATACGTCGGTATCTCTTCCTCCCACTTGGAGTCACTTCTGAGGCCCCAAGCTATCCATGCTCGGAGAGTTCGGAACCGCGATATTATCTCGATGCCAAGCTCGAATATGAAGTCGGTATGATTCGCCTGCCCCGCACGCTGGACGTATAGGTTCTCTCTGGAGATCTCTTCGACGCTGTTCTCGCTAAAGTGTTTTGACAAGCACGAGCTCATTGCTGTTCGCTCGTGGAAACTTTTGCGGTCGCTCTGGCTCGATAGAGTCCGTCCGTCCGTCCGTCCGCCGTTCGCCCGCTTTGAGCATCTGAAAGTCTCTCCTTGAGTGAGAAAGATCGGTCTGGAACGCGCTCACAAATCGCTTCGTTTCAAAGCCGTAACGAGTTTCCTCCCTCGTTGGTGGGAGGCTGTAGATATTGGTTGAGCGCTTTACAGATGAGCGGACGAGTATCTGCTCGCGAATACATCGCTCACTTTTTTTCGCGAGCTATCGGAGAGATGGAAACGTTGACGAATCTTGTGATTCAGAGAGCAAAACGAAATATTCCCGGAATATTTCCGTGGATCAGAGTCGCTGAGGCTGAGCTGATGGAAAAAAGCAAAGCGGTCCCCTGTCTCCACCTGGAACTCCCCATCGTCTATGCAAGCGAGCCCGAAACATAGGAATCGTGTTTAGGGAAGGCACAGATTGAGCTGAGAAACCAGAGCGGAATCGAGAAATAGCTGATGACGGATGAGAGGTGTCGGTCAGTCGGAATCAAGGCTCGGCGGGCGAGAGCCCGCCGAATATGGCCACCCGTTTGCGATTCGGGAGCTAGCCGGATCTGAGCTCATGGTGGCGGGCTCTATGGAGAGATAGCCGAGAATTCGACATGGCACGATGTTATCGAGAAAGGCGCGTTACAGCGACTCCACCAAATCTAAAGCCGAGTAAAGGGAGGCTTTCTGTAACAATATCTCGATCTTATTGCAGTGATCTTCCTCTTCCTGATCGGCATCAATGTCTACGGCTGGAGGACCTCGGGGGTGAACCACGTTCTCATTTTCGAACTCGATCCGCGGAACCATCTGAGCGAACAACATCTCATGGAAATGGCTGCCATTTTCGGCGTATTATGGACTGTCTCGGTTCTTGCGTTCTTATACTCACAGTCGCTAGGTATTCCAACGTATGCCAACCCATTGGCACTCGTATTGTTCATGTTGATTTTTCTCCTGAATCCCACTCAGACGTTGCGTCACAATGCCAGATTCTGGCTACTAAGAGTTCTGGTAAGTTTCACTCAGCCGACGCAGCAAGTCTACCGTTTCATCGACTGCATACGAGGCGAAATTGGTGCATGGAGACAGTGTCGAGCAGAACGAAAATTGCGATCATTTTTGCAGGGTCGGATATTCGCCGCTCCGTTTTTTTACGTGAACTTCGCCGATTTCTGGCTGGCTGATCAATTGAACTCCCTCGTTCCGATCTTCACTGATGCGCAGTACTTCGTGTGTTTTTTCGCAACGGACTTCAACTGGATGGAGAACACGGGTAAAGAAGTGCCTTCACTGATCTCGCTCGAAGAAGGTACGAACACCGCCTCGGATTTCCTCAAAGCCAATCGTTCCTCGAAAATTGATGACCTTATTCATAACGCCGAGATCGCGTCCCATCGGCGTTCCGCGCTATTTCCGTCGATGAATTCAAAGCTCAGGCGATGAGGTGGCTTCAGGTGAAAGGCTATCTTGAGATCCGAGCTCAATGGCGGTTGAGCTTCGCAACCTTCTTCCGAGCGGTAATTGCATCGTGGAGAAGATTTGACGCCACAGGACTTGCTACAGTCTAGCTGCTCGGAAATGTTCCCACCTGTCAGGAGCATTGCACTGCATGGATTTTTTTCCGAAAATGTTCCGTTTCCGTTTGGGTTTTTGAAGCACTGACGCTTTAACGGGCTCGTAAAAATGCTGCGAGAATTGTTCTCCAAACTACCTGACATCGGAAGAGCTCCGGAATTTTTGGTTTCCCATAGTCTCCTTACATCCAGGATTTACATCGAAATTTTCCGCACACCGCTATTTGTTTTCGCGGTTATATCCGAGTGTACTCCTTCGATCTGATCGCTTATGCTGCAAGTGGATGTTGAGCTGAGAGGCTATGTATAGGCCGTTATGATTTCTGAAGAGGTTCCCCGGAGATTGGGAGCATTGCAACATCGGCATGGCGTGTTTCCGGAGTAGTGTCTCTATTGAAGCGAGTCTAACAGGGTTCTCTCGATTCAGATGCGTTCAAATGCATGAAAAGTCCTGCGAACATCATCTTGAGACCCATGCTGTCCTGTCTACCGGCGTGGTTTCGTTTCGCGCAGTGTCTGCGACGATATCGGGATACTAAGGAAGCGTTCCCCCATTTAGTCAACGCGGGGAAATACTCAACTACGTTTTTCACGATAACATTCTCTACATTATTCAATCTTTACAAATGTGAGTATATCTGCAAACGCCAGGAATTCTCAGAAAGACCTCGTGGAGCTCGCGGGCATAATTCTCCTAATCATCCCAGACCTTATATTTGACTTTCGCGAGGGGGAATTCGACGGGTCCTGGGCAAGGTTCTATCGAAATAATTTCATCGATGCTTTTTTCTCCAGCCGAGTACGATAATTTGGGCTCGAATCCATTTTTCTACTTGTGGGTCATATCGATGATTGTTTCTTCGTGCTACACATATACGTGGGACATTCGGATGGATTGGGGTCTGTTCGACGCCAACGCAGGGGAGAACCGCTTTCTTCGCGAGGAGATCGTCTACTCGAGCGTATGGTATTATTACGTTGCGATCGTAGCAGATCTACTCTTGAGGTTCGGTTGGACCCTCTCTCTGTCACTCACCGAATTGGGATTGATACACGCAGATCTCATGCTGACGATTCTCTCACCTCTAGAGGTTTTCAGGTAAGTTCCGACATATCCACGTAGAGTATTTCGCAGTGCGAGCTCCGATACTAAGAAACTGCGGCGGAATCGGGAATACTAAACTTGGAGCTTCTAATTTCAGACGTTTCGTTTGGAATTTCTTCCGTTTGGAAAATGAGCATCTGAACAATTGCGGTAAATTCAGAGCTGTCCGTGACATCAGTGTTGCCCCCTTGGACAGTTTCGAGAGGGGCTCGTCCGGGGGAGTGAATCCCGAAATGCTTATACGCATGATGGACGAGCCGAACGGGGTCATTAACAGAGGCAATCCTTCGGGGAAAACCAAGAAGAAGAACAAGTAAGCACAAAGGGCTTCGTATGGAGGTAACTCCCATGTCAAGACAAGGCGAAGGTTTCAAAGGCATGGAATCATAACGTCGCGATCAATTCCAGGAAAAACAAAGGAAACGCGGCAGAGACCCGACTGTTGCTGGAGGACTCTGATGGTCACACGGACTGTTGATCGGACCCTAAAGCCGATTTCATCTCATCTGTCATCTTGTGAAACCTTGTAAAGAACCATCTCCATCGAGTTGGAGATCGAGTCATGCACGGCCGTGCGTCTCGACTCCGACAGAATCCAACCTAGACAATCTCTGCGCATCTTCCCTAACTTCAGGGTCCCACTCACTGGGCGCGAGGAAGGTCGACTCGATAGTCCATGGTTGAGATACGCCCGTGACGAATCCCGTGTTCATTTAGTACAAATGCAGAGCGACACTCGCTCCAATCAGTTTCGAATTCTAGCTATCGAAGTTCCCTTCTGAGTATCTCGTTCAATCTTTTTCCGCATGTTACGATTGTCCTTGGTTCGAGATTCTCTCAGGAATCTATTGTTTCACTTCGAAGATCGCGGGTACAATTAATGTGATGGCGACGATGCTCTCGGAAGTTCAGGTGCAATCAGTGCGGCAAAGTACTCAATACCCGGAGAGCTGTTCTATTCCCGGTATGACCTTATATTTACTCTAAGGTATCAGGATATCGGCTGAGTGTTTCTTTTTTCATTGGCCGAGCGTGTTCATTGAACTATTCGGAAGCTTCTCGGGCTGAGCGACCCTTGATGTCTCCTTCCGTTCGAATGAAGAATCATTCACTTTCTTATGATGAAGTGCAATTAGGAGAGACCACCGCGAGGAAACTCCGGTCGGGTGTAAAATCGAGTTGTTGTTCGACATTGGTCAATGTTCCCGAACAAGCTTTACGCTGATACCAAAGCTGCCGAGGCACAGTGTTCTGGCTTTCGACTGACGGATGTTATAGGAGAGGCAAATAGCGGATTTACAAACAGAGGGCCTATATAGATTAAACGGTACATAGATATATATTCATATAGTATTTCAGTCGAATGTGATACAGCGAATCGCTAATAAAGAGACAGACACTCACGAAAATGGATATTTTCGCACCGAAGGCGGCCCCCTGTGCTCATTGCTCATTCATCAGTCCGAACGAAAGTCGAGGCTTGATTCCTGTTGCGGACGGAAACCGATGTCATGACGGGCTCGAGAGAGGGTTATTTAGTCTACTCGCCTCGAGAGAACTTCTGTATACCCTCTCTGAATTCTCTGGGGAAATTTGAATGAATCCCACATCCGAAGTCCCGAGACGCATCTGTACGAAATTCTTTGACCCAGCAGAATCAGGTCGGATCGGGATCGAGCACAAGCGGATTGTTCGAAACTAATTCGTCCCACTCGGAATCCTTTGCTCAATGCTTCAGATTCAGAAATCCTCGAGCGCATCCGAAAGAGGACTTCGTTAGGGGGATGTCGTCGACAACGCTAGCGACAATGAGAGTGTTTGTTGTTCCCTCCAGAGTTTCCCTGGGAATTCATTCGAGCTCTGCTCATCACAGCAACCCATTACACTTCGGGCGATCCCCAAGCGAACCGTGCGATCCGAACTCGGCGCTCTCGCGAGTTTGTGACTGTCGGGACATCGAAAAGATCCGTGTCCCGAATCATCTCGGTGTGCTTCATTGCATGCATATCATGGAAGCACTCTGCACTGAGGCTCCTCGGGAGAGCACCAACGACTTCCTTCTCGCCTCAACCGCCGTGAGTGTTGACTCTATTTCTTTTCCGTGTCGGGCCGCCGCTTGAGACTGTCCATCACACAAGATGGAACAGAGCTCCAATGCAGTAAATCATGATTGCGGGACCTAATGGTGAGCACTCAGAGGTTTGACGCAGACGAGGAGATGCTTGGGGCAACCTTCGCGATTCTACGTTGATTCGACAAGCCTGACGAGTTTCGCCGTGTGAGGTACTTCGAGTGCACTTCTCCTTGGCAACTTTCCGGGGGACTGGGTCTTATCCGGGATGATTTGCTGGCGTTTTCGCTGGGGGGTCCTGGTTTGAGCGAAGGACTCCTCGGTCAAGTTCCGAGCGGTGGAATCTAGGTCGGAACTACGGACTTCCAACCCGACATGGGGATAATGAGATCTCCCATCAGATTGTATTTTGTGTTTCGATGGGTTCCACCCCCGATATCTTGGTCGGATCTTCGAGATCATATAGAGTTTCATGAGCTGAAAATAGATGATGGCATCCCTATTCTCCCGCGGAACGTCTCAGGGGTCTCAGAGCGATCTTCCCCGGATGTCGTCGTCTCTTGATCACAAGTGTCTCGGAACGCCAGCTCCTTCGTTACTTCCAAATCCAATCTACTGAGCGGCTTCCCGGACAAGGAAATACCACCGGATAGGAGGACCGGATGAGCCTAAGCCTTGAGCTCGGGAAGTCGGCATCCTTATCATACGACGCTCTGGACTCCCATAGACCTCCATAGCGTCAACCACAGATTAATGCCATGACAGCCACCCAAAGAATGGCAAGCTGTCATCCGTCTGCTTCAGCTGTGGAAGTTTCGAAACCGGCCATTTGGATTGTCAAGGGTTCTGATTGAGCCGGCTCTCGACCTGCCGCACTTGTCAATCATGGGATCCCGTCTACCTGCATCGCGGGATGCGATGGGAGAAGTCTCCAGAGAATCTCGCTACCTTTTCTTTGAGACTCGCCCCGTGCCCGTTGAGGGATGATGTTGGCGGAGAACGAGTTCAGGACGAATACTCGAAAGGAGTTCTAATCTGAAGCTCGGGACAATTCTCCCGGACAGCGCGCAAAACTCACAAATGCGGCCGCCGACGACCTCGCATCATTCATCAGCATCCATGCGAGTTCCAATCTATTTGCGGGAGAAGCATCTACTCCCGCGAGAGTCCGGTACTCTCTATCTGGACCGTGAATATTCTTCATGAGAGTTAAGATAAAATTTCGAAAACGAAGCTGCCTGTGATCTGGCTGGACCAACCGGAGACGAAGACCTGAGAACGCGGGGGAAAAACTCGAATTCTCTCACTACCCGGATCCAAGCCCCCTTCTTGCCCTAATGAACAGGGGGAAGGGAGTCGTTCATCCTTCGACAAAATCAACCCCCAGGAATTTGAGATACGAATGATTAGTTGCGCTCGGAGTCGATGATCGGCCTGCCTCCGTCCGGCGGAGAAAATACGAAGGCTGCTTCATGCCCGTCGAGGGACGCATCTATAGATTACCGAATGTCGCGTGAGTATTCCGAAGAAGGCTTCCGTCACGTTTGTCTCATGCACAAGATTCGCCCCCCGGCCTAAATTGGGAACATGCTCTATCCTAAAAAATGATCTCGATTCGCTCATCACCCCTTGCGGGCTATCTCCCGGCAACACCACCACAGATCCACAATCGACCGCCATATGGGGAGCGATAGAATCCTTCCGACCGTGTTTCGGAGGATTTGCCCATACATTTTTGGTTCAAGAACTCCTCTTCTGATCATACGGCCGCCGCCATGCAGATGTCGTACTACCTTCCATGGCCAGATTGGACTTTTCCGATATCCAATCTCTGTGAGCGGACCTCGATCTGGATCAGTGATTTTTAAGCATTTGAGTTCGGCAGCCCCTCCCATCGGGTAAGAGATAGGCTAAGGACGCCGCGAAGCATGCTCGGGATGGAGTCGAGATCGTTTTCCAATCTCCAAGAGAGAAATCAGGGCTCTCCAGGCAACCAGTGAAGCCCATCTTGTCGATGCGACCTGTCCAAGCCATACGGCCTTCATTTGACATGCCGAATGCGCTGAAGAATTTCAAAATTATGATCAGGATCGTCAACCAGCTTAGCCTCAGAATCACACTATATTATCGTACCAAATGCTTAAATTTATTCAAGTTCGACTTAAGTTAGACTAAAACCTGGTCGACGGAGACACATAGAATACCAACATGCCTGACAATTCCTTGTGTATGCGTTGGCGGCTCTTCGAATCTCTCGGAAACCTCACAGAGCTATTAATAATGCGAATAATTACATGGATAAGAACAGGAAAGGTCAATCGGAAAGCCGGGATCTTCAAATATAACACGAGGTGTCAATCGAGCGCTCCCCCTCAGTACCAAACTCGGAGGATTGGGTATGATGCTCGTGGAAAAATATCGAGGACTTTCTGTGAAAACTGCTAGAGTAGAGACACTAATGACTTCAAGACAGCCTCAGATCCGTGGTCTTGTTCGATCGGACCATATTAGAGAGGATACGTCGACGCTGCATGTGCAGACCTATATTCGTGGGTGTTCCATCCTTCCCCGGCAGACCTTCAGCACAAGTTTTGTCTGGTCCAGATATCGGTATGTTCATGCATGTTTCAGTTTCATGCGCGAAGAAGAAGTCCTCATCGGACGATGGTGGTGTCCATTGCCGCCGTCGGCGTTTCGTCAGTGGGAAGCTCCTGAGACACAAACAGTTGTGTAATAGGACGGTTTCGGATTATTCTATGGGAGTCCTCTCTGGGCAGCCGCGGCAGGGAATAGGTTCGCCATCAAGCCGATCCTGCTTTCGGGGAAACCGCTCCTGAGCCCATCCTCGGGCTCGTGAGAGTCTAACTAAGGTCTACGCATGCCAGCCGATATTCGGGGGCAACCCGGCAGCCAAAGAACAGGGGGAGTGCTCATCATCGGCTCCGAGAGTACACAATTAGCCGCGCCGCACGCACCTTCTGGCTCCATCGGCATCGCTCTCTACCACGATTATGGGCTTCTCGTCGGAGTGAGCGGCCTCTGAAGATTTCCTGTGGAGTAAATCATACTGAGGAACACATCAATGTCCGGCTTGGTTCCCCATAGGTATAGGATCGCTCGCCTGATTCATACGCGCAGATTAAAATAGAAATTGTCCAATAATAATTGACTGGGTTCGATTTCGTGGCGACTCGAGCGGGAAATCGTCGGGTGATCTCGTAGCGCTCTCCTAGCGGAGACTTACACAATCTCAGGCATCCTCCCCTCTCCGAACACAAGCGTCACGGGTCCTTCGATGTTGAACACGAAGTGAGAGTCGGAATTGCGGCTTGAATCCTTCCGCGTCCGCTTCCGTCGTCTTTTGGTAGGACGCCCGAAATCGAAGTCCGAATCGCTCGCCGCTCGCTTACGCCTCATGTTGCGCTTTTCTTGTATGATCGTTGAGACTGATTTGGTCGGTAGGAATAATTCATTCTCTTCCTCACACACTCTGTACACCAACCATTCTACAATTACTTCGACGTCCGACCAATCTCTGAGACCCATGATGGACGGAGCTGCGCTTGTTTTTCCAAGGCATCGAACGAACGTCACCGGTAGCGTCGGCTGCAGGATGTGTTTGAAGCGCGCAAAACGCGTGCGTTGGTTGCTGTGTCTCCACCCGAGTCGCTACGAACGCGTGGAACTCTTTTGCTGTTAGAATCATTTTCCATACGAGTATTTCGCTGACAGTCGCTCTTCTCACACTCAACACAGTAGGAGGGCCGGGGTTTCGAGTAATCTACGTTGTTTGCTCGGATTGCGTGAGAATATCCATCACAGAGCCTGTTCTTATCACGGAGAATACGGTGGGTGTTTGTGCTTCGCTGAAAAAGTCCATCAAAACCTTTCCGCCGAGGAATTATTTTCCACTCTGGAAGCTGCGGCTGATGGCACGATAAGCGCAGGCACTCTTAAATCCTGTTCGAAGGCGAGATACTCTCCTGTCCGCCCGAATCATTGATTCGTTCGTACCAGTCATCGGAACGGTCGGGAGTACTTACGGGAGCGTGCGGACTACTCGAGACGTGAATATCCCTCTCTAGAGGAAAGAACGCAGCTGGATGGAACTCTGTGTGATCGTTCGCGTCTCTCATGAATGCACTCTGGCGGAACTCTTCGTTAATGAAAATTCGAAAGATGGCGATCCGCCGCAGACTCTAATAATGCGGTGGTCGGGGGATTTCTGTTTGAACGACTGCGTAGCTCGTCGCTCGGAACGTGAAACAACGCAGACATTCCTGAAAGTGCTCAGGCAGTGATTCTAGCTTTTTTGTTTGGCGCCCCCTTCGCTCCAAAAAGAATATTGAGCGTCTCCCACGGCGCATTTTTTTCTTTCCAAGCGATGACATGATCTGAAATTTCGGAGTGGGGGGATGTTTGTCCCGTGGACGAGGATCACGACCAGAGGTTTCCTTCAAAAGCGTCTATTTTATTGTTCAGTCCTCCGAAGATGTCAAGTACTATTTACAGTTTCATAATGCGAAGACGGAAAACTCGTCTCGAAGTTCGCGTCTCGGTCTGTATCGACCCGCACAGAGTCTCGCATTCGATCTTCATTCAATAGAGTCTATCGTGAAATCCGTTTGTTGTTAGTTTACCTAGGGGAACGATATATACATTTATCTTACAACAGTGAATGGATGGTATGGCGGGGTCCCAAAACCCTTCAGATGACCCATTCGACCGGCGGGCATGCGGACCAACGACTTCGCTCGAAACTCCTCGGCTTGTCATGAACGGGCGGAAAGCGCACGGCAGTTCCCGATTGCACCACCACGAGATGTTCGGCTGGGTACAGCTGTTTTCGAAACTAGCCGTGTATTCAGTGGGATCCGGAGAGTCGAAACCTTTCCGAGAACTTTACAGATTGAGCGAGCGAGCGAGCACAGAGGATTCTGTCCAACTGTTCGTCAATGTCATTTGCAGTCTGCACCTCCGTTCAGTCACTGGAGCCTGGTGTTGATACGATACGGTACATACACGAAATTGCACTCCTAAATCACAGACTTGACACAATAGATCAGCCGGCATTTCCCCGCCCGATGCGACCGTGGACGATTCATCGTCCGTCCAATCGGAGAGCGGGAAACCTGGCGGGCTGTTTCCAGCTTTTCAAACCTCTCATTCAAGTAAGTCTCTCCGTGGCGACGGCGTAATCTCTTCTTTTTACATGTGGCTATTCTCAAAATGGCATTACGTCATGATCGATGGAAATTCCGAAAATGACCGCTCTGTTCCGAGCCAGACACCTGCTCCTCCTTATCCCGCGTTGTCGAATCCCTCCCTCCGCTAGAAAACGATATAATCTTCCTCTTGACTGCTGGACGTCAGAGGATGCGTTCGAATGTCGAGCCCAAGATCTCGTCGGACGGTGATAGCGCGGTGATCGGGAACGGAGAGGAATTCAGGGCAAAGAAACGACCTATGACGATCCTCCTATATGGCATTTAGAGGGCGATATATCAAACATGGGTTGCCAATTGAGCAGACTTGAATTGAGAGACATTTCGTCCGGCAGGGCTCGCCGTGATATATCTGAAAATCGAAATTTCCCAGCGTTAGAATCCTTATCTCCTCCCAATACCGTTGAGCTTTGCACCCTTAGCGCTCCCGGAGCCATAATCCTCGCGGGGTCGCGATTTTTGCCACGACCGAGATGGATGTCAAGGTTCAAATCGAGATTTTGGATTCATGAGACAGCTGCAGATCTGCCGGCCCGAGGACGACTTCCTGAGACAGATATTATGTACGACGGCTCGAATATTTCCGATACGGATGAGGGAGAACTTCGCCAAATTGAAGGCGTTCAATCCCACGCGGAAGATCCCCGCGTTCATTATCATGACAGCGCTCTCAAACCCACACCTCATGCGAATCGTTCTTCGATCACCGAGAGTGCTCCGGTGATATTTGCTCGGCATCAAAGTTCACCGGAACTCTTCACCGAGCTCCGAAAGCTTCTGTCTGGATGTACGAGCGACAGACCCGCAAGACGGGGCTGCCGTGGCAGCTAAAGACTCTGGCAAAAATGCACGATCAAACGAATACAAACCTCCTCTGCGCAACAGGACTCAGCGGCGGGTTCGCCTGTTGCTCCTGTTGCAAGGGCTTGCGATACGGCAACGTGGACGAAATGTACGCAGTTGCGGGCTGATTCTGCGGATGTGCTGTAGCCATACGCATTTGACTGCACGGTCGCGGCAGACTTCCGCACTCGCTCAGCGACAAAGACCTGTAATTATTTCAGGAAGCCCCACTTATTCGCTTGCCAACCGCTTCGCTGCCTACCCGTCACCCTCCCTATCGCTCTCTACGAGGCCGAGCTGCAGAAAGACGACATTCAGTCTCTGTTCGACTCGTTGGCCCGTCGCTCGCTCATGCTAGCCGCTTGTGCCGTGAGCCTTTGTCCTACATCGACGTGCCATGTAGAAGGATTCGATACGGCGGCGAAGGGCGCAGGCGAACGATCGACACGCTATCTATCTACGATATCCAATAAGGATCTTCCGTGCTAGTTGTCTCCGCGAACAAATTGGATTATAGCCGGCTTGGAACTTGTCGCCCGCTTCTATGGAATATCTCGAGGATAGTGATCAGACAGACCAGACTGAGCCGAGCGATTTTCGAATAATGACCTCGTAGCCGCTGCTGAACGTACGGAACAATTTGCACGGATTACTCCGTCCGAGTAAGCGAGCCGAAGCATTTGTTGGAGGCCCAGCCCGGCTATACAGTCCGCACGCGTGAGCTAAACTAATTTTGAAAGCAAATTAGAATATCACCCAACGCTTCGCTGTTTCGAAAGCAGGTGTTCTCACCCGACGGGTCCGGCCTTCGCATAATTCTGCAAATCCGCTTAAGGAGTCGTGTTTGCTGCGAGCGATTTATGAACGATTCGGCCCAGAACAGAGCTGAGACTCTCTCGTCAGATGACTATTGATTCGCATACTGAGAACGGAATGCTCGGAGAAAGGATCCTGGCCCGCCTGGCTCCGTTTTCGCAATCTACCCTACGGCGGAAGATCATCCGGAAGTCTTCGAAACGCGACGAGCCCGCTCTCCGGACGAGGATTCTCTCCGAAAGAAAAACCAAAACGTCGGCGTTGGAACAGCCTGATGAAAATTAGGTAGCGCAACAAAGCATGACTCGGAGTTTTGCAAGAGCGAACCGGAAACGGGCAGGAATTCCTTGAGCCGAATCGACGTCGGTAGCACGCTGTCAGAGGAAACGTCGCAAAACGTCAGAATGATCTCACTCATCACCGGAGATTACTCCCGGAGTCGTGATGCTTCCATCTTTTTGGTCGTCCCGCAAGCTGGATGTCCGACGGACTAACTCGGACAACGTGGGAGCTCAGCGCTCTCATTACCGAAACGAAGAGAAAAAACACAAGGAGAGACATTTGACTTCTTGAGGAACAAAAACGACATCGCCTTAATTGACATCGGATGGCTCGCCGAGCCAGGAAGTTCTCCGACGTCGAGGCTCGGCCTCGAAATTCCTCGAGGAATTTTCATCTCAATTAATAGTTTGCAGCGGACTGGCCGCTGATTCTCGTTACCTCGGCCGAGCAGCGCGCCGCATTAGAGGACAGCGGTGCTCGTTCCGGATGATTTCGCAGAACAGGGTTCCGTCGCGCATTGAAACTCATGGGCAGCGACAGAAATTTTTGTCTTGAGGCGAGCTTTCCAGCAATCAGAAACCTCAGGCGACTCCAGCGTTCCCGCACCTTGCGCTCTCCGTGAGCGCCTCGGAAGCGACGCTGGTGGCCCAGCGCACGCATGTGCGACACCGTTCCTCTCGATGAAATGTTGGCGCGGGAAAAAAAATGTTCGGTCTGATTTCGATCTGGAATTCGAATAAAGCTCGGACGAGACATCTTTCCCGGGCGGGAAAAGACCGATTTTCCCGGCGACCACAACGGTGTTCATCTCCGCCCACCTCCCTGAATGGGATTCGTGGAGCGTTCGGCAATCCACGAAATTACCCACAGAGTTCGTGGAAAGATGAACCCCTCCTCGGAAGCTAACGATGGGGGAACACCAAGAACCCGTGTCGGGAAAAGTGTCGAGTCACCACGCTTAATTCATACTTCATCGGATCGCGAGCCGCTCCGAGTCGACTCGACACGAGTTCACTGAAGGTCGCGTAATCTCGGTGGTCAGAGTGGAAGCAAAAGTAATTGCCCTGGTCGACATATCCGCGACTTCACGGAGGAGCACCCCGGTGGAGTCTTCCGTTCGAGAGTCGCCATGTGTACTCGCATCGGATTCGCGAGCGAGCCACGAAGTCTCCCGAGGCCGAGACTGAGGGCGCCGTGAGAGTCGCGGAATGCTCGCTGAGTTTCCGGAGGGAATTCCCCGACTAGGAGATCACAAGGAATCGCTTCCCGATCGGAGCGGGCGCTCCTCCTCCGGACACTGGGGAACGCCTCAGCGTTCAATTCCGGCAGTCTCAACGCGTAGGAAAATAGTATACGAGACGTGCTTCTACGAAGTGTCCGTCAGATAATAATCGAGTGGATCTTCCGCGGGAAAGAGACAGGCGCTGGACTTATGCCTACGCTAATCGGATTCGGACTATGTTCGCTTCGGCAAAGGCAAGCATCTCCGCCCGCCTGCCGGACCACCTGTCTCATTGGTCGAGCTCCTTCGTCCGATCAAACTCGATCCGAACGAGCTCCTCTCAAGCAGTTAGAAAAGTTATCTTACTCACGCATGGTTGGGATCGGGTGCATATTGAGGCAGCATCAGCGCGGCGCTCAAACCGCCCGTCGCGTATAACGAGTTGTTGGTCATCACCGGCATGTGGTGAAGTTGCAACTGTCCTCCCCCTCCGACGACACCTATTCCCCCCGGATGATGGTGATGCACAGGAGACATGCCATTATGCACCGGCGACAGAGGCGGTAACGATTGCAACGGGACCATGGCACCGTAATCGCTATTCGTGCTCATGTAATCGGCCACAGGAGGGGGAGGAGGAGGTTTTAATCCGTAAGTGTTCAGCGGAGGCTGTTGTTGTTGAGCCAGCTGGATATGCGGCCCGCTCGGCAGATGCGGGGGCGGCGACGACTGCGTATGGTTATGCTGTTGGCACTCCTGAGGAAGATGGGGAGGATCGGTGGGTTTTTTGTCTAGAAACGTCCCGCTATTCGAAACCAGACACGCACACAGACGGCCAGCCAGCCACACACACAAAGAACTCATCAATGATGATAATGGACGGGATCGGGAAAGGGAAGGGGGAAGGAGGGGGGGGGGGGAAACACGACCGAGCGTCTGTCGTTGTTAGCCGTCGTTGTTGTTGTTCGCTTCCTTGTTATCCGCTCCTGCTGCCTCGTGACCAACAAACAAAGATGAACGGGGTGGAGATAAGAACCGATAAGAGACCGAGAGCCTCACGAGGAGCGACGACACGTATGACAGTAGGTGGCAGGATGCGATAAACGACTAGTTATGAGGGGAGTGGGGGCGGGAGTCACCCGTGCCAGAGGGAGAACCATCGGAACGACGATAGAGGAGGAGATGGGAGAGGAGCTGGGAGACGAAGCCTCTGAGTGGGGAACTGGAGACGGCTCTGGACAATTATCGCCAGACAGACCACTCAATGAGGAGGCTCGAGGAAGGCACGCCGGCTGAGGGAAGTTGGGCATGAGGAAAGGAAGCCATGTTTGCGGCGGATGGGGACGCTCGCTGGACTGGTTAGATGGTTGGAAGGAGCCTAATGATCCTCCAGCGGCCGGCGCCACCGTTGTCGGAGATGTCGTCCACTTACGGGTTTGACCGGAATGCTTTGATAGGGAGCCGGAGCGTAGTCGTTGAGCCGTTTGTACGGTGGGAGTGTCGTGGTGTCTGGGGGACCCCGCTGTCCCACGAGTTGTCCATGGCGGTGTGCTGCGGTGAGATGTTCTCGGTGTTCGAGAGTGACGACGCCGTCCTAATTTCAACCTTGATATCGGATTCACCTCCAGACGAGCTATTATCCTTGTCGGACATCAACGCGCCGCCGTTCGATAGCGGTTTATTCGGCATGGTCTCTTTGAAGTCTGAAATCGGAGCGGTGACGAGTTTGAACGCAGATGCCGAGTTGAAGAGCCGGAGGGAAGAGAGAAACGCATGAACGATTAGCTATGGAGATTTCGAACTCCGCGACGGAGGGACGCTCCTGCAGCGTGAGATCGCTACCATTGGGGAGATTTGCGTCGATGCCACCGCACGACTCCCACGAAGCCTCTCGGAGCTCCTTCACTCGAGGAGTCTAATTTGAGCCCCGAGGCAATAAAAGTTGATCGGTAGCCCGCGAGTATAATCGATTAACGTTATCTATCCCATCGGTGGAATTCTTGCTCTAAAGTGGGCTTGAGGGATTATTTGCCGTCGACGTCAAATAGAGAAAGTCGAATCGAACTCACCTTCGGGCGGGGACCTCTTCTTGAGGCACACCGTCATGAGCACCGCGAATAGAACGACGAAAACCGCAACGATCGCCGCCCCGAACATTAACATTGTCGTTGCTATGCTGTCACGGAGCAACGTTATGACGAGCGAGTGCTCGCCGTACACGTTCGACACCGAGCAGTTATATTCGCCGAAATCGCTCGCCGAGGCCCTTTCGATGACGAGCACGTTGTTTTCACCGCTCGGAAGGCTCTCCCGCGATATGCTGTAACCCCGAATTTTCTCGGTGTCGATGAGCATGCCGTCCTTAAACCATTGCACCTTCGTCGCCGGAGGAACGGCCTGAATGAGACAATGGACCCTCGCCTCGGCTCCTTCAGTGGCGTATTGCAGGGCGGGTGATTCGACCTTCGGCGCTCCCTTGATGTAGACATGGTAGTCGTGGGTGATATCCTGGAACAAGAAGAAGACAAGTCGATCAGCGGGGGTGTCGCGCATAACAATTGGCCACGGTCGCTGGCTAGGTCGACGTCGTCGACGTCGTTTTCGCCGCCTTCTCGTTGGCAACGCCGGTGACCTTGTTGCCATCGCTGCCGCCGGTGTCAGAAACAGCCTCAAAGCTCTTTAAGCCGAGCTAACCTAAGCGCAACCGCCGTCGGTGACGTCAGCGTTTACCTAATACTCGGGTTTTTCCTGCCGGACGCCAGAAGCGAAGACACGGACCGATGCTCATAAATAAGCTCGGAAGGGGCATGGAATCAGGAAATCGAAGTTTCCACCGATAGAAAGAAGATTCTCAGCGGGGGGCAGCGGTCGAAGAAGTTAAAACCCATTCAAGAACTACATGAGTACCAACATCTAAAAATTGAGTCTTTCCTTCTGGTCTAAGAATAAGGGGGACGTGGATGAACGCATTCGATGCATCGCCACTTACAGGGAATCCTTGAACCGAAGCTCGACAGGTGTAGACTCCCACATCCGCGGACGTCATTTCCCTTATGACATACACTTGCTGTCTTCCAAGCACCGTTGAGGATCCTCCGCGCGTCCACATGATTTCCGGCTTCGGATTGCTATCAACATCGCAGCTGATCGCCACTTCGGTGCCTGAAAATACGATATCAACTTTAGCGCAGTTTCTCCCGTTTTTTTCCGCGAGAGTCGTCGTCGCGGCTCTCCAGCGCAGATCTCTTTCGCAATCTGCTCGGTTCGGCGCTCTCTTTTGACTGAGCCTGGATCGGCTCCGAACGTTCCGGTCGACTCAGGCCTTTCTCGAGTTTTTCCCCAGCAAGCCACTAAAGCAGCTTTTCTTTTTCTTTAAGTGCCATTAATCAACCACGAACTACATTCATTCACACTAGCGGCGGCGCGCTCACTTTCCTTACCATCACCACGAAGGAAAGGGTGAGGCGCGCCAACAGCTGCTCGAGTGAATGAAATATTGAAAATTTCTCCCCGCTTCCGCTCGTCACGGCGCTCATCCGCCCGCTAGCTTCTGAGACCTCTTTCGCTGCCTTATCTACTAAATACGGGGGAGCAGCAGAAGCAGCGGCGGCGGCGACGACGACGGCACTTTTCCAACGCACTCGCTTCGAACGCCGTACACGCGAACTGCCATCGGCTGAATATCTCCTCTTCTCCTGTTTTCAGTCTCCATTGTCGTCGGTTGTCGACTCCGTCGCTCTGGTATCGGTGCTCGTTGTCAGCGGCCGTATCTGAGCTGGCTCAGTTGACGTACATGCATGCGAGTATTTATTTTGTATAACGAGCGAGCGGGCGGGCGCATCGAAAATGACACGCAAAAGCGACACACCTACAGACACGATCCAGCCGTAGGGGCACGTCGCATGTGTCGACGCATTCATACGTATGTAGTCGTTCGTAGCTAATACTCACCGATTTGAGCCATGACAGGCTTATCGTTTGCTTTGAACTGGGGCTTGTAAATGACGTTTACAGTGACGTTGGCCCGGCTCAGTCCGACCGAATTGTGGGCTTCGCATGATATCACATCACCGTTGTCTTTGCGAGTGAGTTTGCTCAATTCGACGTAATTTTGAGTTTCGTCGACCTTCATGGGCTCGTCGTTCCGGTACCAATTCACGGCGGCGGGTGGGGGATTCGCGGAAACTTTACACTCGAATCGGACCGTGTCGAACTCATGGATCTCTTTTCTGCTCGGCGTCAGCGTGATCTCGGGAGCATCTGGAAACGATATATCAGAGAGAAAAAGAGAGAAAACTTTAGACGTCGTTCCGTGAGCCAGGATCCACTCAGAAAGACTTCTGCTCCTCCTCTTCCTCCATCGCCCGGCTACTTTGTTCCATGAGATTTTGGTTTATGAGCCGCGGAAGCGGCCGGCGACGGCGATGGGCGTGGGAGCCTGATCCCGAAGGACAGGAAGTCATACTTTTGCTCCTTTTCACGCCGATGCCGCCGCAGCCATGCCAACAGCTTTAGCCCGACTGGGGAACCTTCACCGAGAACCAGTATAGTCAGCAACAAATCGGGACCATGGAATCTGCTCTCCTTTTCAATGGGATGGAGGGAAATGTCCCGAAGTTCCATTGTTTACGATTTCCCCTTTTCCCGTCGTTTTCTCTCCTGATTTCTTGGTCGTTCGGAACTCACATTGAACCTGAACAAGGATCGAGCTGAGAAGCGGTTGTTTGAGAGCACGATTCTCCGCCTTGCAGGTGAGCCTTCGCTGGTCCAACTCTTTGCGGGCCACAAAGGACCACGTCAGCTCAGAATTCTCTCTTTTGTTGTCCTTCGCAGGAGATCTCTTCGAGGTCACTCCTAGAAGAGTGGGAGAAGAAATTTCATTTTTAGATTGGAACCAGTTGGAACCGAACCTTAAATACCTCTTCTGGATTTCTTGTGCACCGGTCCAAGTCTGAGGGCTCTGAGTCTGAACTAGAGACCTCTTGAGGGCTCGCACTCAGAGCCACTGCTTGCGTTCCTCTCAGTTTTTTTCCCCCAGTTTTCCCTGATCTCTTCTATTTATCGCCATCACATCAGGATCTATTGAGGTCAGACCGAAACCATTCCATTTTTCCACGTCTTCAATGTTCCTCCGAGCGTTTCTCAACAAAGCGCTAATATTCCATTGTTCCTTCCACGCGTTAGGGATATTGAGTCGGAAAATCCAAGGAGAGCCTACCTGACGTTACGGTGTTTCCGTCTCCATCAATCCAGTACATGTCAGCGGCTGGTTTCCCTCCTAAAGACTCGCATTTTAAACTGACGGTCTCGCCGGCGCGCAGAGAGATGTTAGCTCCTTGGAGGATTTTGGGCGGATTTGGAGGAGCTGAAACAGTGCGTTTTAGTGATCCATCTTTCCGTCCGGGCAGGACCCGCCCGACAGAGTAGGACCTAGATCTAGCTGTCAAGGTCTTCGCGACTAGAAAGTTCCCTTGAAGCAAAGACTGCTCGTACCCTTCGCGGGAGACGATTCTCTACTCCAGGCAGACGGCGAAAGACTATATTCTTCGATTCAAGAGTATAGGTACGTCGATTCCTTGTTTCCTCACCATAAACGGTAAACTGAGCTTTGTGTGAGCGAATGCCCTTTATGCCCTCAACGGCTCCAACCTGGCATTGGAACTCCGCGTCGTCCTCAAGGGCCACTGAGCTGATTTGTAGCGAATAATCTCCTTCGTCGTCCGTTCCTATCATCTGATATCTCGGGAAGCCGCTCAGGTTACGGTTGGTCCCCAAACCGAAACCGTCCTTCGTCCACTGGAGAACTCCCACCTTGTCGGTTACTCGGCATGGTAAAACGACCGTGTCGCCGACTATCGCGGTCCGGGCCGTCGGATGTATTGCGAACTGTTGCTGACGTCGGACCGGTTCTTGTGTGCCTGAATGAATTCGTATTCGGATACTTCGTAAATAGGGAAAAAGAAGCCTCAAGCCGGAATTCCTGGAAGGCGCAGGTTCCCTTCGGCATTTCCCTCCGGGAAACCGATGCTATGCCGGGAATCTGCGACGCGATACTCACGTTGCGAAAAAGCTGCTGTGATCAGAGCGAGGTAGATCATCAAGCGATACGCTGTCGCGTGGCTTGACATGCTGATGTTCGTAAGATGTATCGCAGCTCCCAGCAAGATGCAGGAAGTCACTCAGGAATCATCGCAAAGAGTCTGTAACGGACCAAGGACAAGATTAAGAAACGAAGCCTTTATGCTCGCAAAACAGCTTGACACGGAACGTTAGGGTGACTGCCTGTCTCATTCGAATTCTTTTCCCTCTTCTAGGAGAACTCCTCTTCTTTCCGTCTATTTCGCTCGCTGTCCCCTGCCAGCAGTCTCCCGCACGAGCCTCTCGTCTGAGGGCCCATCCGTTCCGGTTTTCGGTCCGTCTATGGCACCAGCCGCAGAGCCGAACGAGCTACTTCTGCAACTCGCGAGGAGGGGGCGAAGAATGCGAGAGGACTCCGTATCTCTCGCCGGTACCTAATAAGAGTAATGACTAAAAGTCGAGACACAAAACAAATTGGAGCTTCTCCTGGAGCGCGACGCGCGGTCGGGCTCCTGGAAAGAGGAGCTACACTCGCGAAGCAATCTGGAACAGTTCAAGTTTTGTACGGGCAAGACGAGCCGCCTCGCATCTCCAAACTCCTACAGCTCCCAGACGTCCCCGAAGTGTGTCCAACTCGCTCCCGAGTCCGAGCTCGCTTCCGACTCACTCTTGCTTGAAATACTCGGAGCTTAGAGAGCGCTCGCGGTTCCCGAACTTTCAGACGAACGTCCACTTCCGAATCACGTGATCAACGGAACGTTAAGCAGAAGTTCGCAGGAATTTTTGTCAAGCTCCTTTTCCGATCTCATTTCCGTAGGAGCTCTAATCCCCCCGTCTCTACGACGTCCCCCTTTATAACAATGGGAGCGCTTGAATTTTCGAGCTCTTCTCCAGAAGCCTCCGAAGCCGCGGAGTATTTGCGACAAGGCAGAAGCTCCGGCTTTTTGTAGTTCCATGAAATTATGTCGACCGCAATGGAAACAAATGAAAGACGCGATGGAGCCTGAACTCCGAGTGAGAACGAGCGGAGCAGACGGGAATCCTCCAGGGGAGCTTGCTCACTCATTCGTTCGGTTGGGCGCTCCGTCAGCCAGTCGAGCGGGCGTGCGCGCTCGCTGTAGGTAGACGTATTTTTAGACTGCCAGCGGTGAAGTCGAACGAACGAACGACGGACGGACGCGAGCTGAAGATGAACGACAGCGCGAGGAACCGATGTTCGAGGAGAAAGTCTACGGAGCCGTCCAACACCCAGCGGACCTGCCGTCACTCAGACCAGCTCGCCGCAGTTGCGTTTTTGTATCGAACCGATGCATAACGGGAATTCTTCGCTTCGGCGAGTACGGGAACTACCGTCGAGCAGAATATCTCCAACGATTCCGCGATACGACAAGCGGCAACGCCGAAATACGACGCGGCATTCGTGGCTCGACCTCCATTCGTACCCTGCGATTTGGTATCGTAATGGAACGACGTGAAATAGGAGGTGCTCGACAGGGATGGGCTTCCTCGAAGGATTTGCGAGACACCGGGGCTCTCTCGTTGGCGGCTCATGTTGACTGCCGAGCTCGAAAGCCTCTGTCGAAATCGCCATCGAGTCGTCATTAACGCCTTGATGGCAAAGCAGAACCGGAAGCAGCGCTACTCGCGCATCGCTATGTTAGGAATTGACTGCCGGCCGAATGAGCTCGCTCGTCGGTGGCAAGATCAAGCCAACCCTTGCTCTGCTGTCCTCCTGCGCGGTTCGTGGCCCTGGAGGCGGGGACGCCCGCGCATCACATCGGGGAGAGCAGGGGGAAGGGGCCCGGGGTTACTTTAGAATTCGGTTGGGCGTTTCGCTTGCCTGTCACGTTGACAAAACAAACCGGTTTGCCTTCGGGCCCTATTCGCGGTCGTTCGCTCACTCGTCGAATTGCCGCGACTGCGCGCACTCGAGCAGCGGCTGGAAATGATTCGCGCACATGAACTCTTCGTTGTACGGAAACTGCTAGATAACAACGGCCAATCGACCCAAGAACCACGAATGATTTCCCAGGTCCAAAAAGGCAAAATCTTAGCTCGTGATCAAACCCATCGGGACGGAAAAGCACTTGGGAAGGAGCTCAGGAGGAAATGTCGGTCAGTGTACGCCAGTCCGGGAGATAGTTCACTCCGCCAGGCAACGCAGCATTCGATGCGCGAAAACTTTGAATATCACGATCGGAACGATTCCCGCAGAGCGAGTAGAAATAGAGATAATTAGTTTAATTATTGTGGAGAGAGCAGATCGCGTCACAGGACATGTTCGGGGTCCTTGCAGTTGAGTTCTCGCAGAACTCTTCATCTGGTTTCGGTTCTGGTCCGAAGGACGCGGAGGGAGACCAGGAAGTGGAGCGGGGGTTCCGGGGAAGGAGTTGGGAAGACAAGCAGAACAGGCGGACATAAAGGAGTTGGGAAATTGGAGCAAGGAGCGACTGCTGACAAATCTCTCCTGGCTGTTGGCAAAAGCACTATAAGTTTCGTGGTGTCCGAACTCTGCGTGCTTCCTCATCAGTAGTCTCGGAATGGAACGTTTTCGCCGTTTTCGCGTGTCGCGAGTCGAGATTCTTGCCCCTCGACTCCTGGTCGTGATTTTTCATCTGAAACCCCCTTGCATTTTTTGCCATTCTCGCTCCGAAGAGCTGTCATGTACAATTTCGTGCGAAAGCGATTTGTTCAGACTTCTACCCGCAGCTTGAGATTGCTCCCGTGTTGTCGGAAGGGAACCCGGGACGAAAAACTGTATTCTTTGCTTTCCGTCAGACTTTTCCGAGAGCGGAAGCTCCGGACACTAGCAATATAGGAATCCGAAATTCATAATCGATTTCCGTGCTCGACTTTCGAATTTCGCCGGTGCTTGCACGAAATACCGAACGAGGACAAGGGGCGGTCAAGAGGTAGCGGGTCGCCGAAGCGGACCGCTGAGCCATGCACATCGAGCCCTGTCCAGCGAGAGTTCGGAGTTCGTCCGGTGCGATGCTCTCTCTCGAGAGCGACCCAATCGATGCCGGTACGGAATTCCCTTTTCGGCTCTCTGTTCTTGTTATTGTTGTTGTTGCGTTCTCTGCAGTTACTCTTCCCCTCTGCCAGACCTGATTAATCCGATCGGGAACGCCCGCAGTATCTTCCTCCACTCCTTGTCCTACGCGCCCCTCCAGATAGCATCGGAGCTCTTTCGGGGGCGAAGTCATTCCTGCAGAGCTCCACTTCCACAGGAACGATCACGGTCGCGACCGGACTAGAGACGCGTTCAGGAGACAGCGAATTCGGATCGGTCGAATAAAAGTCGACGACTCGATCGCAGAATCCCAGGACCGAAGTCAGAGTTCGAAAGAGACGCCGGGAATAAAGCACGGAATTCCGCTGGAAAAAGCGAAAATTCATCTGACTGTTGATCCGATCTTTCCGAACTCGGAACGACAATATCGGTCCCAACAAAGAACAGACCTTGACGACGGCGGAGCTGCGTCGTCGATCTCGTGCGGTGGGGAAACAAGCGGGCGGGGTTTTCTGTTTGCACACCGGATGACAGACGCACGACAAGACGAGCACGCAGAAAAGCGGACGGGCGGTCGCAGGAGCATACGCTCGAACGTGCGTACAGAAGCACGCTCGAATGGATGGATGTTGGATGAGGCAACGTTGTGTAGGAACATCCTGACTGGATGAATAAAAGGATGGATGTTCAGATGGATGAGCGGATGAATGCGCGTCGGGGAATTTAGTAACTGAAGGAGGCTGTGCTTGTCTGTCGTCGTTGAGCCGCTCAGGCATCAGCGGCAGAATCAGTTCCTTCCCCGCGTCCCGCTCCCCCAGCCGTCTTTCAACGCGAACTCCTTCTGCCCACAGCTATTTCCATGTTTCCACATTCTGCGTCACGAACTCTTGCGACGCCTCGGTGGAAAGACAAAGGGCAACGGAACTATCTTTATTCGCTGCCAGCCATTTTCCAGCGAGCTGCCTGCGAGTTAGACGACATTAGAGAACAATGTATGACACACGAAACACGCTCTAGCTGTCGCTGTCGACGTCAGCCCCGGCCGAGATGAAAAGACAAAAACAACGAGAATCCTTCGGTCGGTCCAATGTTGCCGCGAGCCAGCCATTCGACGACCAAAGCTTTGATACCGGAGCAACTTGATCCATGAAGATATTTTCCGGCTACGGTGTAATAACAGTAATGAATGAAATTCTACACGACACGTCTGCATCGAATCCCATCGCTCGTTGTCGTCCGACGTGACCTCCTGGTGAGCTGGTTCCTGCCCCCAGAATCGCGATTCGGTATATCCGTAAGTAGAAACCGACTCGTGGACTGACCATCCAGATGCTCTCGATCCCCAGAGAATAAACATCTTCACGCCAGCGAACTCAATTTGGGTTGTCCTGTTCAGACAAAAGTTCCTTTCTGAGCATTCGTCGTCAGGGCGACGAAATGAGTGTTGCAGGGAGAGCGAGGAAATGCGCACGCGTGACCAGGAGAGACGACGAGTGATTGAAAGGATGAATGGACAAGGGGCAAGAACGAGCGAGTCCCACTTTGCGAGGAGGAATAAAGCACGTTGGTTCGAAGGAGCTACTACTCGTGCGTTTTCTGACGGTGCTCCCTTGACGGTTGGCTTAAAGTTTCTCATTTTTCATCCACTACTCGGCGGTGCTCGAGCGGCCAGACCGGGGTTACTTCTGCACTCGCTGACGACTGCCTCGTTGCAGCCGCTTTATCTTCGAGTGCTTGTGCTCGTCTTCTAGTGGGAGAAGACGTCCCTTCTCGCTGCCCCGCATCGCTCCTCCTCTCGTCTGTTCTCCGCTTGGTCGCTCGGTAGACAAACATGGCAGCGAGGGTTCTGCCGAGTGACTTCACGCTCGTAACCGCGTGACGCATTCTACGCATTCCAGCTCTCCTGAGACAGTTGTGACGGGAAGGGATACGCGTGCGACCAAAACACACCTGCGCTCGGAAGCATCTGCCGCCGCCACAGACCCGGGACCCCATCGGAAGAACCGGCGAAACCGGGCGAGGAGCGGGCGTTCGAGAGCTAATCTCGCCTGATATTCCCTCCAGCTCAGCTTCACCTCATTCCTGGATGGTTGGATCCTTGGGGCTACT